AAGATCACGTAATTCGAGTGGGGGGTCCAACGGGAAGTGGGAGTTGTACAGCCCCATTCAAGCAACAGGAGGAGAAAAGGGGATTGGCCAAGGTTGAGCGTTCCCCTCCAGCTGCGAGGTTGAGAGCACGTTCCTGAAGCCAGTGTAATGCACCACACTTAGGACAGGGAACTTCACAGCGGCCAAATTGATGTACTGGTGTTCCATCATTGTAGTCTTGTCGAGCAAGGCAGTGTGAATTGACCCCTTCGCGCTCCCGCCTGGACCGTTGTCCAAGTTCCCTTCTGGTTGGACCTGAGATGTTTGGATCTGCGGGTTCTGGTAGATCCCTTGTGCCCCTTTCCCGCTCGCGCCGAGCACGTTGAGCTAATTGTCGTCTTGTCAGCCCCTGCAGGGTGACAGTGGTTTCGGGATTTGAGGTCATTTCTCATGTAAGTGTAGAGTCTTTGGCACAATAAATGATAACTCACGGGCAGAGAATAAAAGTATAGAAGTGCACGATGTGAACAGGGGAGCGAGTTACCTTGGAGAGCCCCGGGAGAGCCAGCGTGAAATGCGGGTGTAAAAGTGCACGGTGTGAACGGGGATGCGAGTCGCCTCGGAGAGCCCCGGGAGAGCCAGCGTGAAATGCGGGTGTAAAAGTGCACGGTGTGAACGGGGATGCGAGTCGCCTCGGAGAGCCCCGTGAATGGTTGCGATAACGGTGTAAAAGTGCACAGTGTGAACGGGGATGCGAGTCGCCTCGGAGAGTCCCGTGAATGGTCGAGAAACAATAATGTGTAAAGGTGCACGTGGACCGGGGACGTCCGAATTCTTCTCCCCTATAGGTGGCAGAGAAGTCAGTGGAGCAGGTTACATGTGACAGAACCCCCTGAGCGCGAAAAAACGCGAGAAAACGAAAAAAAAGTCGAATTTGGCTGGCCGGACCCCCTATTTAGGGGATTTTGAGCAACCGAAAACTCGGTTCAAATCTGCTTTCCCCCTCACCGTTCCCCTCACCGTTCCCCTCACCGTTCCCCCCACCGTTCCCCCCACCGTTCCCCCCGGCGTTCCCCCCGGCGATCCCCCTGCTCGCGATCCCCCTGCTCGCGATCCCCCTGCTCGCGACTCCCCCCTGCTCGCGCGCACGCGACTCCCACGTGGTTTGTCTCGCAAGTTGTCTCGACATCTTCTTTTATTATAGTAGATGTGTCTCTGGTGCTATTTGATGGATCGTGTCTCCTCTGCAATCAATGTAGCCAAAGAATGATATTGAAGAATCAGCAAAGTTGGTACTTTGCTGATTGTACTATATACTGTCTACAGGTATCCGTGTCCTCCTCTCAGTTCCTACTGCAAGCGTCTATGTACATACTCGGACAGGTGAAAAACCGCTTTTGAGCAAACCCAGTGGGGAAATCTCAAAAAGGGAAAACCCAATCCTATCTACTGCAGTACTGCCTCCAAACCCCGCTCTTCTCCATCCTAATCCGTCGAGTTCGATGGATCCGCATCGAGTCGTTGCTACCTCGTAACACTAATACATCACTAGCTTGGTTCCCTATGAGCCCCTATATCCCATAGCTATTTGACACAGACTACTGGTCCCTACTGCAAGGCTCCAGGCAAGAAATACTCATGCAGATACCTCTGACATAGAAGTCAAAGCAACGTGCACTACAATAGCCAATATCCGACCGACATTTGCTCATGTTCCTCTCCAGACATATCCAGGTGTCTACAAGGCGTCCTTTGGTCAAGTGCCCCAAGTTTGAACCACCCTGATTTGCATTTTCCCTGTTGCTGAGTAGAGTGCTTGAGGATGGACCAGGATTAGCTGGATAGGCCGTGAGTTGGTCACTGACCCTACTCTCAGTCTGAGGGTTCAGCCCATTTTGAGGGTTCTCGCTCCTACAGTCAAGTGTCATGTTCTCCCCCTGTTGGGAGGCAGAAGCCATCTCAAGCGTCAAATTGCTGGCTTTAGTCTCAAGATCCTCACCTCTTGTCAAGGGATCTACCTTGTCAGATATGTCTCCGAGTGACAACTGACTACCTGCCATGCTAAGCACTACTGAATCCCAATTTGTATGGTAAAAAGTTAGAGGGACGACTATGCAGATATCCAAATCAGTTCAGAAGATAGGTCGAAGACTCGGGATCTCGTTCTCTGGTGTCTGAATTATATGAAAATCTCATCCTCCGCAAGTCGATAACGCCTTCGTGGCGATTGAAGGGAGGACCGGGCGGAAGTCCAATGTTAGCACAGCGTCAACGTGGAGTAGAGACAGTAAATAGTGCTACTTTTCCTTCTCAGCTAAGAAAGGTGAGAAATTACCTGATTGGATCAAATCTGCGGCCTAAACAAGGAGAAAGAATTGAAGGGAAAGAGATAGAAGGGAGCAATTCTTTCTCGAGCAACAACTTGTCACACCCTTCCCTCAGTTATATCGGTGAATCGGAGCGAAACATCTGAGGATAAGTCCAGTCTCTCTTGATAGATGGATGGTCTTATGCAGATTCAGCTCACATCAATCGTTAGGAGAACAGAGCAAAGAGGTGACATGTCAGGAACCGTAGGTTGGTGAGATCCCCTTTTGACATCACCATAATCTTTTGGATTAATATTACCCACGGACCATGACGTGCTCCTCCGGGCCAGGTCATACCATATTGTAACTTCTTTGTGCACACCAGTGGCTGAGTAAGTTGATCAAAGAGGATCAAAGCATCCCAGCATCCTGGTATCTATCATGAGAAATGGCAGCATCTCGGGGAGGATTGGCTGTGAAGGATATACATACTGTACACTAACACTATGATGTCATATGAGAAGAAGTATGCCCTTGTGTATGCCCTTGTCCCCACACACAGTATTGACAAATTGCCAAGATAGACTAGAAACAAAGGTTCAGTGAATAATCAACAATATTTGTATCCGTCTGTCTCTCTTTACGTCTGATGAGCAGTTCACATAGCCCCTTCCATACACGCCAGGAAAAAAATTCAAATGGCAGTCGTCAGTAAAAAAAAAGCTGCAAACATTGTCGAGTGATGTGCCAAGTCTCCAATCATCAAAAGTGTAGATTACTAGAATTGGTAGTGTGCATCTTCAAACATCATTAAGCACAAATCATTACTGTACTCCCGGGTCCTATCTGACACTTCAATTCTCAGATCCCTGATCAAGCTGCGAATGGCGTCTGAGTGGACAGGTATGTTTGCTGCATATTTGAAATGGAGTGGCGCATTGTCGACCTATCTCCCCACAATCGGAACAGAAATCTCTCCAACCAGGCCTCAGACCACAGAGACACTGGCAGACAAGACCCAACTCCCGGACGTTCGACTGCATCATCGTCATGGTTTCGTACGTGAGGTTCACGCAAGAGGGAGACAGCCAGGAGAAGATGGAAGACATACAAGAGCACCTATGACATGGGAAACTTGAGAGGTTCTCTCCATCTGTGTTTGGAGTTTGGGATGGTCCTCCTCCAGGGGCTACAGTTGTCATGTTTCTAATGGGACTGGGGGGAGCGGTCACGAGCGTTTCCGAAGGAAGCACTTCCCTACTTGAGGAGATTTCATTCGGATGAATTGATGTGGATTGTGCAGATGACAATATTCTCATTTCGTTACCGTTGTCTGCATTTTCCCTGGATGTTCTTCTGCCCAAAGAGAGACGCACGCTCATCGTCAAACGGGCAAGCAGACGACTCATCCTCGATGGATATCCAGCGCTCATGTTTGATGTTACTGAATGAGTTTGGAAGAAGATCAAGTACTTATTATCCCAACTAAAAGTCAGGGCTTCCCCTACTTTAGAATGCAGTGTAAGGTTGATGAAGGGAAGGGTGTAGGGAAGGGATAAATGAATTTGTGGCAGCCTCCTCCCTTGATGCACTGGAAGACAAGGAGAACAAATCTAGGGGTCAAATCCCGGCGATTTTTTGTTCGTATGGCCTAGCCGTCAGGTCGCTACGGACTAGAAGAGGATTCATAGCTCGGAGCGGGAAGAAAGGACGACTCGTGGTCCATGTACTCTCTATGAAGTTGACTGTTCAGTACACAAACCTGGATTATGTCCATACATAGGTGAGTTTTTGGGTTCGATAGAAAAGGTCTGTTCCGCCAACTGATACACCATCCGTGCGAGAGGAAGCCGACCATATCGGAACTCATCTTACTAATCCAATGGGTACTCTGTATCAGTGAAGTCATCATCACTTCATTGGTTTGGAGGGCACTTGCTCTCTATGAAGGTTGATGGCAAGCACTTTCAACTACCTGCTGAGAGGGGAGTCTAGACGGGTTGAGGGTGTTACTGTACCCCCAAATCTCTTATCAGCCGATCATCCTCCGTGCATTTCTGTTAGCCGATAGAATCGGCCCAGGACGGCCCAACCGTCACTAGGAAAATTACTGTTACGTTACCCAAGAAAGCCGTGATTCTTCGGAGTGTCACGGGGGTCATCATGACTGTCAGAAGATCATGACCTACCAAAGAGATCATGCCAACTTTACTAAAATCTTTCCTGGCCCAATTCTAATACATGACTAGGTAGTTAATGTCTCACTCTTCAATGTTCAGCTAGAGATACATGCTGGAGATGCATGTTTCTCCTCATTTTTGGTGTTTTCCCAAAGATCATTGTCTGCTTTTTCCATATCATGCATGAAGAAAAACCAGCAAAAAATCCCTCTCAGACCTTCTCACTACTTCCAATATCTCTTTATAAAAAGGGATAATTGTTTGAAGCAGTGATAATCAGTGAGGAGCAATTCTTCTGTGGGTCATGGTCCCACAACCATGACCCTTCAAAGTGGCACGGATCTTCTGTTTACTGATAATTAGATGGTAATACAGAGGGGAAAAAGAGCATGCATCAATTCTACATGTCTCTATACTTATCACATTCCACTCACACGCATAAAACCAGAGACGATCGAATAAAGTTCAGAGGATAAGTTGAACGGAGAAATATCCGACGGAAGGGGTAATTCTAACGGCGGTTCGGCCGTCCTGGCCCGATTCTATCGGCTAACATCTTCTGACGGTCACGCTATCCCGCATGATGCTCCCAAGTGTCACCGCTTCCTTCCGTAGACCCACGGAAGCCGTGATAGTTCGGAGTGTCACAGGCGTCATCATGACCGTTGGAAGATCATGACCTACCAAAGAAATTGTGCCAACTTTACTAGAATCTTTCCTGGCCCAATTCTAATACATGACTAGGTAGTTGATGTCTCACTCTACAATGCTCAGCTAGGGATACATGCTGGAGATGCATGTTTCTCCTGATTTTTGGTGTTTTTCTGAAGATCATTGTCTGCTTTTTCCCTATTATGCATGGAGAAAATCAAGTGAAAAATCCCTCTCAGAGTTTCTCACTACTTCCAACATCTCTCTATAAAAAGGGATGCTTGTTTGAATCAGTGGTAATTGGTGAGGAGCAATTCTTCTGTGGGGCATGGTCCCATGATCATGACCCTTCGAAGTGGCATGGATCTTCTGACGGTCACGCTATCCCCCATGACGCTCCAAAGGGTCACGGCTTCCGTCCGTCACCTAACATATGCATTACACCAAACTGGACTGTTTTCAAAATGCTCCCAGGGCAGATTACACTCACAAAACTTAGCGTCTGGTAGCGGGTCATGATAGATGATAGTCCTAAACATCCTCTGAAAGGACTTGAGAGGGGTACAACGCCAATTGACAGAATGAACACCATTTTGATAATGCACACAGATTTTCCCAGCCAAATTACTATGAAAACGTCTTTCTTGACTTTTGACACCCGACTGTATGTAAGAGAACACAAGTGTCAGGACCAGCTATGATTGTTGAACTGCTCTGATCCCTTCTTCTACACATGATCCTGTGTGAATGCCAGTGTTTTCTTCAGTCTGGCACCATGTAAAGGTACTGAAAACATGAAGAATTGGTCGCGGGTTTGGTTAAGTTCAATGTAGTCCTATGGAAGTCTGAGTGTCTCCGGTGCTAGGTGGCAGGGTACGCCTTATGAGTGGCTCAAGACTGCTAGGCAGATCCCGAGTATTAAGCCTTTTAGCGAGGACATTTTGATGCAGGTCCCTTACTGCATTCGTGACATTAGGTGATAGATTGTGCCTTGTCTGCAGTTGATGTAGCCAAATAATGATATTGAGGGATCAGCAAAGTTGGTGGATGGTCTGAATCCGTTAGGTGACAAAGGGGAGACAATTAGGCTTCAAAGGGTCATAGGAGTCAGCATCACAGACTGAGGATGTATCACAACCAGCACTTGTAGCGAGATCAGCTCTCATGAGCAGAGTTGATATTGAGCCTTTTAGGATGGTTATGATTGTGGGCTTGCAACCTGGTCATGACAAGATGTGACCTGTGGAAGATTTAGTCCAAATTCTTTGAGTTACTACTGTATATACAACTTGCCAGAACCAGTTGAGTTCTCATGACAGCAAGATACAAATGGTCATAGCAACATCAATGCGTGTTGCTCGTCCATGACAGATCTATAGAGAGTCTGTGAGACCATCACGGGTTCGGTCCGCCAAAAACAGTTGTTCCCATAGATTCCTGGATTGAAACTCTCAATGCATTCCCATTATCATCTTGTAGTGCTGGACCCAGGAGTGTTATCCACAGTAACAAAACTTCTTACATATAATCCTCTCCGATGTGGTGTCCCCATGTCTTGTCCGAGCAACACAATCCCCCTCACAAATACCGCCACCCCTCAAACGCATTGCCAAGTCAGCAGTGTCTGGGTCTTGATTCCCATCCCCTTCTGATTCCAAGGCGTATGATATGCAGGTTGGAGCTATGACCATGTCGGCTTTTCGCCCCGGTGCTTTGGCAATCACAGTGAGCGCACCGGGAAGATTATCGGCGGACGAAATAGTTTCTGGGACGGAGGTGTCTTGCATTGATAACCTGATGTCTTCTTTAGACTTGGGCGTGTGCTCAAGTTCAGAATCGACTGGGACTGATGCTTGATGTACCGGCAAGTAGCCCGAGTTAGCCAAGGAGCGATCATCTCCCACTGGAGTAGACGACACTTGTAAGACTGAAGAGGTCAGATGAGGGTTGTGGTTGTCTGCAAATTCTGTCACGCCGGAAATAGTGGACAACCCAATGGACTGTGGATGAGACATATCGGTTTGGCGTGCAAGTTAGTATTGTAGAAGGAGAAACCGACTAGTTGAAGAGCTACGAACTACTGGTGGGGATGATATCTCAGATGATGAGAACTTATAGCTCTCACAAACGCTTATTGACCGTGAAAACGTTCACGTCCGAGACCCGACCCCCAGATCCCTCTTTTGTGGTGCATTGAAAAAGCAGTGCAGTTGTCTGATTCTTTCCCAGATTTCACATCTTCTCATGATCTGGTAGCATAGCTTTCAAATGGGGTGAGAAAGTATGTTTAAGACTGTGTAGAGTGGGAAGAGGAGATACACGGCCGGATCAGCACAATTGCGAGTCCTCCGTCCGAGTCGTCCCGGGGGAGGGGACAGGTTTCTTGTTTTTTCCCATCCAATATCTTCTTTTTTGAGAAGATCTGGGAGGATTCCTTATCCTGTGCTCATATCATTTGTCCTGGTAGTCCATCTAGACTTTAGGGTCGGACGAGTCGGGCCCGAGAGACTAGAACGGGCCAAATTAGAAGCGTATGGTGAGAAGGAAGGAAAGTGTTCGAGATCGGCTTCACATCTCGTGATTTCCCATGGTCTACTATCCCAATTGAGTAGTCTTTCTGAAATCGTATGTATCTTTCTCACTCACAGAGCATGGCCTGGCCTTGGCCAGAAAAAAAGAGAAAAGATCGATGGTAGTAGGATGGGTGATTGTGAAAGGTGCGCGCGCGCGTTTCACCTGGTTTTTTAAGAAAAGTGCCACGTTGGTGAAAGTGCCACATCGCCACGTTGGGACTGATTAGCGTAAAGTGGAGGTCGTCCACTCACCCGGTCAAACTTTTCCTCCTTCCCTTCCCTTCTCTTCTTCTTCTTCTACTCTTCTTCACCATACTTTGCCACTCGCTTCTCTGACTGTATCCCTCGAGGAATCCTCTTTTAATGAGATAAAAAGGTCCTGTACCTACTGCGACAGATATCCTCCAAAGGTGAGGTGTCTTCGAGTCATTCCATCATACTAAACTAACCCGCAGGGAGGTGTCCTCTATCTACTCTAACTCTCCATCACCATGCCCTCCTCACTCCTCAAGTCCCACCTCTCCCTCCCATTCTTTCCCAAAGAGATCCTCCTCTTCATCGTTCAAGAACTTGAAAAATCTTCCTCTCGGGCTACCCTTGCCTCTCTGGCTCTGACGAGCAAGAACTCTTACGATCTCGTCATTCCTTACTTATATCGGACGTACACGCTCTCTCTTCCTTTGGTCACGCAACATAGTCCATCAGACTTCAACCCAAATCTCCCTGCGCGGTTTCCACATCTACCTCATTATAGCTTTCTCCCTACTTGGCTATACCAACTGGGTATTTGTGGCAATATACCGGTCCGGATGACGATGGCTCTGCGATGTGTGGAAACTTTGGTCGTCTACGTGGAGGAATTAGGAGACGGGATGTCAATCAATCTCCCTGAGATGCACTGGGAGGGAACAGTGATGCCCAAACTGGACAGACTTGTTGTGGCTTATCGTCCGGACATATTCTTGGAGGAGGATGAAGGAGATATACATGGCGGTGTGGAAGGGGAAGGGGAGGAAGAGAACCATGAGGAGGATGAGGAGGAGGATGAGGAGGATGAGGAAGATGAGGAAGATGAGGAAGATGAGGAAGACGAGGAAGACGAGGACGATGGCGACGATGAGGAAGACGAGGAACAAGGTTACGACAGTGAGGATTACTATCGCGTCCCGCTGTCCCAAGTCATTCCCCTTTTCGGTAAACCCAAACACCTCTGCATACGTTATCCTCTCCCTCCCTCGGGTCATTTAACCCTCCCACGACTTCCTATCCTCCCATCGGATCAAGAAACATCTAGTGATTTTCATTCCAACTCATTTGAACATCTATCAAATCTCCATGGCATTGATACATTGGAAAGTCTGACATTCCATGATTGTTCCATCCGACCATTCGATACGAACATTTATATCCCCCCTGATGAAATGCTCAACATAAGGATCGGATTTACCAAACAAGTCAATCCTCTTTCTGTTCAAAATGATGATGATAATCCAGCAAACTTTGAGAGACATAGACGAGAGATTACAAGATATATGATCAAAAGAATTCAACATGTAGTAGAATGCTTAGAATTAATTTTTGGTGACCCTTATCTATCTGATGGGGTCACAGAAGACGGTAAGTCTTTCAATTTTCTTTTTGGAAGAGATCTTTGACTTTGTTTGAACATTTTGCTAGGGTGTTTTTCTTCTTTTTCCTTTTTCCTCGTCTTTGAGATTGGGTTGATTGATGAAACAGTTTCCAAGTATGATAATCTTTTCATCATCATCTTTAATCCTCTCGGTCATCTTTCTCCATTAGGACCTTATGCGGATAAATTTCCTCGATTCTCAGATGAAGTTTTCTTCGAAATTGCCGTTATGAGACAATTCATTGAACGGAACGATGATTCAGATGCCCAGTTTCGACAGCACATAGATGGGTTTCTGGCACGTGTACGATTTGTGAAAGACGACGATCAGATATTTGAGGAACCTTGTGAAGCATGTGGTGGTGAGTGCTTGTTTAATCTTATCTATGACAACCCAGTCTCTCTCTCCGATCTATGGTGTATTTTCCCCTTAAAATGGACTGCTTTGTTGTTTTGTTCATTAAAACATAAGAAAATTATTCCCCCTGTCCATCTTCGCTTCTTTCTCTTTCTCTTCATTTACTTGATTCCTTCATAACCCCCCTACCCACCACCTCACTTGTCTCGCATGTCCATAATTCTACATTCCCACGTAGGGCACCAATCAAACCTGTTCGACCCTCTAATCTGTTCGATAGTCGAACCAGTCCGGTCACACCGGACAGACGGTTGGTTCATTTATATACTTGACTCTAACGTTTTCACCCAGAGATAGGAAACGTCATTTCTTGTCTGACCATCTTGCTGTCCTAGATACCAAAGATGATTTCGAGTTGATCAATGGCTGATGACCTGATGTTCAGAACCCGTTTGAACTCTTTCACTTAACCTCATGGTCCATCCCCGAGAGCTTTTACATTCAGTGTCAATCCTCGTTCACTTACACACCGTCCAAATCAAGTGAAATAACCCCTTGGTTCATCACAAAACCATCAAAGAATCACAACTCGTCTTAACTCGTCTCAACTGTACAATGGAACCAACCACCAACCCCACGAGAGGTGTAATTCAATTCCAACTTGTTTGATATCGTCCCATTTATCATGATCAAGTTTCATGTATCATCATCACTCGTTCACTGTACATATATCAATCCCATGCATCTCATGTACAGTCAATTATCATTTGAGGTGACAAAGTGTCACGGCTTCCGTGGGTCCTGTAACATATCTCATGTACCTCATACCTCGTTTCTCGTAGACATGATGGTCATCACGACACCCCCAATACTTCTTCATTACTATTAACATCGACCAATCACCCTCTTTCGTCGATTGACATTTATAAAAATGAACAAAGCAGAACTCGTACCGAAACAAAATGCACATGCATGAAACCGAGATTATATACGTAAAATGATACAAATGCACAATGACACTTCAATGCCAACAAGGATACACAAAAAAGATCCAGCAAAAAGTAAATACAAAATGGACAGATGCGAAAAATTAACAATTGACAATATATACAAATTACTCGGATGTATATTGACAGTGAGTGATAAGAGAGAAAAAGTATCGAACGAAATTTAGTCCGTTTTGTTTCCCGCTGGAAAAATTCGAAGATTTGCGTATGTAAGACTTTTATTCTTGGTCGAATGGTAAATAGACAATAGACAGGATACATTCGAAGCTCGTGATAATCATGACGGGGACAAATTCGGAGATGAAAGATGTAGATGAAAGATGATTGAAGATTGATGATTGAAGATTGATGATTGAAGATTGAAGATTCATACAGTTTGAATTTCAAGGATCGTTAAACCGATCAGGAACATTATCAATCAAGTTGGTGAGGTGTCGGAAATCATCGTTCATTACCATTACCACCACCGGTACCAGGATACTGATGAGTGTAATCTTGTCGTGTAGAAGACCTATTGGTAGGTTGTAAATGTGAAGAAACATGAGTCGAATGGATCAAATGTGACATGGAAGCTTGAGATAAATGAGATGATTGAGGTTGAGTCGGATGATGATAATGTGTTGTATTTTGATTTAAATTAGGAGTTAAATGTTGTGAAGAGGTTTGTGGTAATTGATGAGGTGGTGGCATTTGCCATGATATTTGATTAGGAGGTGTTAGTTGATCACCTAGAGAAGAGTTGGATTGACTCGAGGTTGATAGTGGTACGTTGGGATGGGATTGGGCATGTGGATGTGGATGGGATTGGGCATGTGGATGTGGACGGGGATGAAGGATTTGACTTGGATCGGGATATGTTACATGATCGGAATGAGCGTTCCAATGTAATCTGGGGATTAGCCATTTTCTTCCGTTCGACCAACAAAGTGGTTATCGTCGTTTGGTTTGATACTGCTTATGACAAAGGGTCGACAATGACCATGTGGACAGGTGCGACTGTAGTGCAAGTTGCGATCATAAGGAAGTGGACTATAAAGTTGTGGTTGCGATGTAAGATATATGGAGGTTGCATGTTTGAGAGAGAGAGCGCGGGAGTAACAGCGAGCGTGGGAGTAGCAGAGAGAGCAGGAGAAAAGACGTGAAATCAGGGGACTGGACGAGCAGGGAGAAATCAAACATTCGGTAAAGAAGAAGTGAATCGGGGGATCATAGACATTTTGGGAAAGAGGAGAGAAGGGGAAGGAGAAGAGGAAGAGGGAGAGAGCAACGAGAGGAAGAGAATAACAACTGACAAAGTCTGTAACAACGGATCCATCCCCGCCCATTCTAATGGATCTTGATACTGAGCAGGTAATTGTTCCATCAACAAAATATGAGCAGGATCAGCGACCAATCTCTGAGGATCCACTTGGTTTTCATGTTGCGGAAAACTCATTTCGGGTGGTAAGGATGTATCTGCGAATGGACCCAAAGGGTCGGGACTGAACGTTAGTGTTTTGTTTCCCCCTCCGCCTGTTTGTGCGACTCGACATTGAGTTCTGAGAATTCCTTCATGTCCATCTTCCTTATTTTTGCGTTGACACGGGGTTTACGGAAGGACGTCCGTGTTGAGATTGAGGTATTGGGTCAGACGGGGAAGGGATTGATAGAATAGGAGGAAATTGGATCGAGAGGATAAGTGGACCAGGGGTTCGAAGAGGGTTGACAAAGATGTGATGGTGGTAGTATGAAGATGTAACCAATTGTGGTAGAAGGGGACCGGGCAAGTGAAAGGTATGTGAGAGATGAACAGAGCTCAAGCAAGACAAGATTGCGAAGACGACCAAATCATTCTGATTGAGTAGTGAGTCAGATTGAGGAGAAAAGGTGAGGGAAGAGAACAGGAGAAGTGAAGAAACACAGAAGAAGAGAAAAGGAAGGCAAGAGGGGAAAAGGGAAAGAGGGAAAGAGAGGAAAAGAGAGGAAAAGAGAAGACAAGAAGAAAACACCCACGCTTGTCCCCATCCACTCATATCCATACCCACATCACCTACCCCTACCCCCGTCCTTGTCCCAACACCCGAACCCCCATTATCCCCTTCCACATACCCCAACCTTTCCCTGAGTCTCATCAACATAGGTAAAGCTCTTCTGGCCAACCGACTATTAGGTCCCATCTCTTCTATGATCCCACAAGTTTGATCAAAATCCGTTCTTATCTCATCTGCCATTATGGAGTTTGGTAGACGTAAAAGGACTGCAGCTTGGACTATTGCTGATGTGTATGCGTGGACTAAAAGTCAGTGGACATGTTTTCTCTCTCTTTTTTTTTCTTTCTTCTTTCTTTGAAAGAATTGAATATACTGTCATTCTAATATCTTCGATTTGTTATGGAAAAAAATTGATGGATTGCGGATTTGGTATTGAATGACTTCTGATAATTGTTTCGTTCTTGTTGGAATGGAAACGACATCGAAATGGGTATAACATTAAAATGGAAACGACATTGTAATGGGTATAACATTACTATGGATATGATATTGTAATGATCAGGAAATTACAATGATTAGGAAGAACAAGATAACAAACGAATCGAACTTACAGAGGAAAAACCACCAACTATACGCTGCACCAGGACAACGTCTCAAACATGATCCCATTATTTGAGTATGTCGTCTAGCAGAAGAAATACAAGCTTGGAAAGAAGCTGCATAAGGACTTCGAAGAGGTTCAGAACCCGCGGCGATAGCTTGGAAGAACCATGGTCGATGTAAGGCTGCAATCAGCGTTGTGCTCGCTGATGACTCGAAGATTCAGATGGTCCAGAGTTCAAGCTCGGTGTGATGAGGTTGATTGTTGATTTTCCGCGAAGAGAAAACAACAAGCAGGGCAGAGGGACCTCGAGGGCAAGTCAAAGATGGTATGAACACAGACATGAATGACCTAAATCGGAGGAAATGGGATAGGTTGGTTTCCAATCAGTGAGAGATAGGGAGACTAGCAAGGAAGAGGATAACTAGCAACGAAACCGACCCACCTAACAAAGCTTTATGTAATAACAAAGCTGCCATATGAACTTGAGGTACTCTTTTCTCTTTATCTTCATCACCTAAACCAGCAGTCATTTCTTCAATCCATCTCTCTCCTCTTCCCATTGCTTGATTTTCTTGTTTATACCAACCACCCTCGACGTCATTAGATTTTGACCAATCAGATGAGATTTCACCATATTTTGAACGTCCAGAAGTAGATTGATTTTCATCAGGTTTAGACCATCCATTACCCTGCCCATCCTCATACCTCTTAGATCCCACCTCTTCAAATGATCTCTTAGACCAACCACCACTCAATTCTCCATCGGTTTGCCACCTTAACCAACTAGGTGCGGTAGCTTCCACACCTCTCAACTCACCGTCGAGTTGCATGACAACGTCGTATCGTGGTAATTCTGGTGAAGCTAGACAATCGGCTATTCGTACGAACCTTCTTACTAGTCGGTATTTCAATTGATGGAATTGGTCGTCCCATTTGGATCGAGGGTAAGGGTCGGATTGTAAAGAAGCAGGGGATGGATGAGAGTTGTGGGATGGATGAGGGTAGAGATCGGGATCAGAAGGAGGTTGACAGTCTGATAAATGTACCGGGATAGAATAGGGTCTTCCGAAGTTGAGAGATTGTCTAGTATGTGAGCAACCTGTCTGGGATATGAAAGTTCATGAATGAGACAGTCAGGGCAGCTATAGTCGATTTCACGGATGAGACGGTCAGAGCAGCGGCGACGATACAGTACACTTCGCATCCAAGAGATGAGAGGATCGAAGGTGAGGGAAGGGGGGATGGGTAGGTATCAAGAGAAAGGATCCAAGTTGAGGATGACTCACAACAGATCATAAGTCATACATTCCCACCATAACCTCTCCCTATTCTCCTTCTCAACCCCACCCAAACCCCATCTCGTTCCGTCCCTATGCAACCCCACCGCACATGCAATACGTATACAAGTCCCTAACAGAGGCCAAGCAGCTTTCCCAGCTTCAGGTTGATGAGTGGAGAATAAAAACGATACCATCATATGTAAACATTCCACCGCAGCGGTTGAATGTTTGACCATAAAGTGATGTCTTGGCAAAGTGAGTAACGCCGAAGCAATAGAGAAAAGTCTTTGGGCTTGTGGAGCTGGGGAAGTATGATCCGCAAAGACATGACCCAAAGCGAGTGCCATGAGGAATGTAGCTAGTCGATGTGGAGGGACGTTGTGTAAACCTGTTATGATGGATGCGGGTGTGTAGATGGTTTCGAGTGTTGAAGCTATGGCTCGACGATCGGTTGGGGTGTACATCCATTCAACTCGAGTGTCTGAGGTCAGCGGTGTACTTGTGTATCTGTATTTCTAGGTTTGAGTGATGTGAGCGAAGAGGGAAGATGTGAGATACTCACAGTATATTTGCAAAAGAGCAAGAGCACCCGATTTGGGTGGCATGACTTCGTGCATGTGCATCAAGACGGACGGATCGGAGGCCATGAATGGGAATGTCATACTTGAGCCTGGGTCTCCAGCTGGAGAATTGTTCTCTGTCTATGATCATGAGCTCCCACCTCGAAAACACCACTCCTGCGAATCCTTTGCAGACATTCAGAGGCGGGGGCACAAAAGCCATTGAGATGGATGATTGTGAGCCGACCAGTGAGAATGAGCGATACCAAAGCAAGGTGAAAAGCATACTCACCACTTCACCCTCACCCTCCCCATCTTCATCTTCACAAACATACAAAGCTCCCGCTCCTCTACCTATATACCTACCAGCCTCATCCGTCCAATCCATCAACCCCGCTCCACTACCTGAAACAGCAGCGAGATGAGATTCATCTCTCACACTACTGATAATACGCGATTCAAGAGTTGTCACTCTTGTAGCTGGAGGGGTGTAACCGGGTGATTGGGATTGACTTTGAGGTGAGACCAGTTGAGCGTGTGCAGAGTTAGGATGTAGTTGAGAGACCGTATGCAATGTATCAGGCTGAAATGTCAGTCCATTGTCTACCCCAGGTTTTGCTTTAAGACACAAATGGAATCCCATCAAGGGGGATTCGGTGATTCCAGTAATCGTTTGCGCTATCGGCCAGACGGGGATGATCGAACGGGATGTACAAGCACCTCCTTCCAAACAAACGCCTTTCACCCTTCGGCCTTGCGCATTTCAAAGAGGGTTAAATCTTTTCTTTGAGTCGAATGTCTCAAAGCAGTGTAAATGTAAGAAAAGCTTTGGTTGTGGAGATGAATGATTTGAAAGGAGGGTAACTCACTAGACCGCCTGGAGACCCTTCAGATTCTCTTCTCAGATGAACCGTCGCTCTGTTTTCTATAGGTATCGAAGGATCCCATTCACCTTCTGCATCTTCATTCCTCGCTGCCAGAGCGGCTTTGAGAGCTTCGTTTTCTGCCAAAAGAGCCTTGACGGTTTTTTGCATTTTGAGGTCATCCCTTTTTTCATCATCAGCCATCAGAGTTGAGATGAAATGATGACATGAGATTTTGAGAAGAGAATGGGGGGGAAGAGAATATTGATGCTCACCTCGGACGTAAGGTTCCAGAAGGACATATGGCTGAACAACCACGTCTCACGCAGTTTGTACATGGCCATGTTCTCGTGCACTGGGTGTCAGATGTGACCGCTTGGCGTTGTGATGTCGTGTGACAGAGGGTGAGTTTCAGGATGGAATGTTGGTTGACTGATGCGGAAAGTTCACGATTACGAGGTAAGTTGAGGCGAAGGGAATAGAAGAAGAGTCATGACTCACCTTGAGCTTTAACCTGACACATTCTCCACAACTGGGAGGACCACGTTTACAATTCGCTTTTGACTTTTCAGACGGTCCAGCTGTTGGGGGCATGGTCGTTCCGGGTCATTGATTGAGTCAACAGCCAACTCGCGGTTATCTTTCTTGTTCTGGCTTGTTGTTCTCTCTTCTCTTTGTTGAGTACTACTGACACACTCCCCCAGATAGGAGTAGCAGGTGGTATATAGAGTGAAAGTATAGGTGAGAAGAGTATAAAGAGATGAAGAGAAGCAAACGGGGAAGAATTGCCGGCGGGCAAAGTGATCGATGCACGGACACACCTCGGGCGTCAAAAGCAAGCTCGGTTCTCACATGTGGGGCTCCACTCGGTTAGACGGTATAGCCGTATCGCCGAGAGTGTGGCATTTTACACGTGACTCCAAGGGCGAAGGGCGAGTGCAAGGGGGTTACATTCCTTACAACTATCACTATCACCACTGCGACAGTGACGACGTGGTACATGATGATGAACCCCTTGTCGGGTTGGAGATGGTTGGGTCTTGCTTGCGCTCTGTCTACCGCCGCGGGTTATCTAGGTGAGTGGAGTGTCAGCTCGGTGTCTGGCTCGAGAGAGAGAGGGGGAAGTTGAGTAAACGGAGAAGGGCGAAGGGTGAAGGGGGTGGTAGATGGTGGGGAGGTGGGAACAGAAAGGGTGATGAAAGCTGACCTTTAGTACCAATAAGAGATACCGATGACGTCCGTGAAGTATGTTCAGGCATGTATGGGGGGAAACAAGCTTTCATAAGCCGTCAGTCTTTCTGCTTCCCACTCACATCCATCTTATAGGGGTACAACCCCAACCCATCCGCAGTCTACTATCTCTAAGTATGTTCTGCCCGCGCTGTAATAATACCATAATGATGATACTCGGAATTTTGACCTTTACCGATTGTGGGGAGTGGAACATGTCACAATATCACCCTCGGCGTGCGCCCAGTGATCAATGAATCAAGAGGGAAAGCTAATCCGCAGTCACCTTCGACGACACTTCCGTAGGCCAAGTAGCAGTGGTCATTTACGAATGGAAAGATGCAAAGTATCTAGGAGCGGATACCATCTCTGGGGATCATGATGATGTGGGTGGGGATCCTCCTGTAGGTTGTGAACGAATGAAGAGGCGGAAAGGGAAGATGTGCTGATCTTTTAGAAAACGTATATTTGCACTACATCTGCTGGTGGGTTCCCTTTCCTTCTCTCTTCCACACCATTCCTTTTCTCCCTTCTCTCCCCCCCCCCCCCTCCACCTTCCGCTCCTACTGCTCTCCCTCTCCTGCTAACCCTTCTCACCACCTACCTCTCAACTATCGTCACCCCTCCCCTCTGAAGGTTTAGCAGTGCATTTTCTAACCGCCAGTCCGCTCTGGCTTATGCTCCTCATCACAACTAGGTCAATTCATCACTTCCCTTCCAGATTCCATCCCTCTATCCTCCACATCCATATTCACATCAGCTATCAAATTCCAATCTTCTTCATTCCCCACTCCCACCTCACCTTATCCTCCAACCGGAGAAGATGAAGTCTACCCTGTAGAATCTTCCACAACTAGAATCGGTTCGTATCCCACAGGAGTTTCCGATGAACCAACGGGTGACCCTGATGAACCTTTTGAAGAAACGGGTGATCCTTATGGTGATGGAGGAGACGCGGATGAATCATATGGCAATGAAGAAACAGGTGGATCATACGACGATGAGACGGACCAAGATACAGATAACATGATGGATGCGGACGTCGCTGGAGGTATGATGGATGGTGTAGGAGTAGCAGAGATGATGGATGATGTGGGTGCAGGAGAAGGGATGATGAATGAAGGAGAGGATGATACTGCTTGGAAAACGATGAAAAGATGGAGGAAAAAAAGACAATTGGAAGATCCTGACGAAGGGGATATCTATGATGACGGGGGTTCGGATGATACGGATGAAATAGGATCAGGAGAGATGGATGATGAGGGGGACGAAAATGTCCCTCCTGAAACACCTTCTGGATCTGGAGGTGACGGAGTGGAGACGTATACTGGACCTATCGAGTATGCCGTTCCGAAAACGGGATATTATTGTGTCGGTGAGTCATCATAAAATCGCTTTTACACAAGACTCGTCATGTGGGGTGGAGGGTTTCTCTCAATATCAACCATGACGTTCTGAAACTTTTCATCTCATCTTAGGATCCGACTTGCCTACAGTCCGTTGCCACTCTTTGGGTTTGCTTTTGTTTGGAAGTATGGAATCATAGTCATGTGAAGCAGTGTGAAGATGAAAGTCTGATGATAGGTATCGTCCCTGTAACTCTCGTCGGGGGTCGATCCATCCCAATTGACAAGCCTCAACAACGTATCCGAGACAACACAAAGAGATCAACAGACGGAACACATCATCTCGTCCGTGATGATATGAATCCAAGACAGACACACGCGGAATACAGCGGGACGGTTCTGTTCAGAAATACTTTCGAAGGGGAATTACCAGCTGTTGAATATCCCAAGATCAACGTGAGTTCTTTTTTCTTTATGTCTGATCTATATGTCAAGGGAAGATGGTGAACGAGGACTGTCACACTCTCCCAGTAGATATGTCATAAAACGTTACGCGCTAGGTGGAGAGTCATCACTACAATCGCATGTTATCCGATATCGTTCTGGAAATCTGTAAATGTGGGGTCAGACAGGTCTCAATCGCATGTCATCCCATGCTATCCCTTCTTCCTCTGGCGTCTAAAAGCGGGGGAACAGACATATCTCAATCGCACATATTATCCCATGTGTACTCCGGAAGCGTGTAGACGAAGCAGGGGAAGTAGTGGAGTAGATGTTGCTATCATGGAAAGAGAGCTGACGATAGTTTTACTTCGTCTTGAGTGTCGTATACTTTGTTCTGGGATGTGGATGGGCGTATCTTTGCGTAAAATATCGTTCGGAGCTTTTGTGAGTTGTCCGATTCTTCCTTCATTCCCAACTTGTGTAGACTGCTTTGCTTTGAAGACACATCCCACACTCGTTGACCGTCCCTCTCTTCTTCTCTAGATTCATCATACATCGGTCGTTCCGACGCCGTTTATCGAATGTCACTCGCCGCTTACCCGCCATTGAGGGCTCGTCAGGTCTATACTTCGCACGGGAGACTCATAAGGTGCTTCGTTGCTCGAAAATGATGTGACACTCCTGCATGGGTCCCTTCCCGAATGTGAAAGCTTGCAACTCTACTTCACCCCACATCTCTATCCTCCTCTGCTCCTCCTTCTGCTTCTACCACAACACCCCTCAACCCAAGAATGTCAGCACATGTCTGGAACATGTCTTGAGCAAACAATCAAAAGTCAAAATGACACAACAAGAAAGAGTCAAACAAGAGAGAAAGGGAAGGGGGAGAATCGTGTGAAACAAAAAGACAAAGAACTCATATTCAGACCAATGCAATATTACATATCCGGAACCATCCTCTTCCTAATAATCGAAATGTTAGCTCAATTCGCTTATTATCGTTATGTGAACAAACACGGTGGAAACACAGGTTCATTAGTATTCTTATTCGTCATTGCAACTTTGAACGCAGCTAGAAATTCTTTAAGTTTCTTTTTGTTGTTGATTGTTAGTATGGGATTAAGTGTGGTGACTCAAAGTCTAGGAGTGGTAATGAATCGAGTTAGGATTCTAACTTTGATGCATTTCGTTTTTGGAGGTGAGTCATTTTCTTCCTTTTCCCCATTTTGACATATATATATAACAATTTCTTTGTATCTTTTCACAAGTTGTGCGAAACTTGTAACATTCCATTTCACATTTTCACACACTTGAAACTTGTTCATTCTTACTAAATTTCATTCCATCATACCTCCAATCCTACTCTTCACCCTCTGTAATGTGATACTTAGCTGTCATTGGTCCAGTTTGTACCCGAGGAACGATCTTGTTTCTTTTTTCTTTTCCCTTTCTCTCTATCTCCTCTTGTCTTTCTCTCTATTTCCTAGTCATGGGAAATGATGAATTACTGTCCTTCAGATGTAAAGAAGGATCTTGTCTTGTATGATGAGCGGAAAGTGTGGACGGTATGCTGACTGTTAGTTCTTTATTCAATAGGAACTGTTCAAGTTGAACTTGATAGTGCACCTCTTTTCTTGATTCTGGTTCTCATATTTCCACTCGCTTTGACCTTGACGGGGTTTTTGATGTGGATTATTATTTCTTTGAATGGTGAGTTTCTCTTTCTTTTCTCTTTGCGTTACTTCCCATATGTCATACTGTATTTATCACGTCGGACGGATGTTACATCTCACAGAGCTCTTTCTATCTCACCCGTGTGCTGTATTTTTGCTCCAAACGCCACTTTTCTAGCTATCTTTGAGAAATGTTCTTGTGTTCCGGGTCATTTGAAAATCTGACTACTTTTTTTCATCTTCCTTTTTAAGCGCTGGTCTCGTCGGTGTCTCTTCACACCTCTCACCGCCTTTCTACATGTCTATTGAGAAATCATACTTCAGACTGTGTCTTCAAAAACTCTTGTGTCGTCCTATGTCATTACGTTTATTGTTGGAAGTCGCCACTCATCTTTTGGGCCGCTTATCAATGGTCTTGACATATCATCTGATTATGAGGCGGTATGGACAAGGAAGACGTTGACACCCAGGAACAATACTTCATCTTCAAGCTCGGAAACAGAGATACAAATTAGCAATGTTTAAACGTCTTTGGAGGATCTTGGTCATTTCAGTCATTGCCGTTGCGGTATTTTTTGTCATTAGCTCTATGAGTCTTTCGAATCGATTAGAAGAGGGTGAGTCTGAATTGGGTTCTCCCTCCCTCTCTCCTTCTCTCTCTCCTTCTCTCTCTCCTTCTCTCTCTCCTTCTCCCTCTCTCCTCTCTCTCCTTCGCCCTCTCTCCTTCTCTCTGTCTCCTTCTCTCTCTCCTTCTCTCTCTCTCCTTCTCCCTCTCCTCCTCTCTCTCCTTCTCTCTCTCCTTCTCTCTCTCCTTCTCTCTCTCCTTCTCTCTCTCCTTCTCTCTCTCCTTCTCTCTCTCCTTCTCCCTCTCCTTCTCTCTCTCCTTCTCTCTCTCCTTCTCTCTCTCCTTCCCCCTCTCTCCTTCTCTCTCTCCTTCCCCATCTCATTTCTTTATGCGTGGCGTGTGTCGAATAGGTGAACTCGGCGAATCGAACTCTACACGTTATATCCTTTCCCGAATGATTCTTCCCTTCGTCTGTTCCTATGGTGGAAGAGTCCGTGTGACGCTCTATGTCTTCTTTTACTCGAACGTATCGGTATTGGACGGACTGTTGCTCCTAAACGATCTGGCTTTACCGAACGCCGGTGGTCTTCTATCGGCGGGGTGTACCATGAGGTATCGACGGGGAAAAGGACGAGTCAATGATCGAGAGACTAAATCTAATAAACAGACTACGCTCCGAATAATTGGAGATATCGATGGATTCTTTTAGATGGGTCGTTGGCTACTATTTATCTATTGGCGTTTTCAGGTATCGCATGGATTTGGAGACCTGTCAGTTTAACTTTTCTCTGCCTTTCCCTCTCCTTCTCCGACTTCAGTTCACCGTCTCTGCTCCTTATCTCTACATCACCGAAGTCCATCGACGGAATACAGTACCTGAATTTCTCTTTGCCCGCCCCCTTCCTCCTTCCCATTTACTCCCAACTTCCTTGACTGATCGTTGTTGTTCGAATGTCATCACCCCAGTTCTCAAACCTCTGCATGGCTTGCTCGGGAAGTTTGGGGACGGGATTGTCTAACGAATCTTTCATTCCACGATCTTCCTTCAAGAAGCCTCAATGATAAGTCACCAAGCTAACTCCTCAGTCTCGAGATAACATCCGTTTCTCCATGTCTCAAGAATTAGCTCAAGACGAAGCAGATGCCGATGCAGAAGATTACGAAATCGGTTCGTTGGAACATGGTCATTCTCACATGCCTCTGGCCACGGAACCGCAAGATGACGAGGAGGGTGTTCCATTACGACATGGAGAACATGGCGAAACGGTTTTTGCTATGGGAGAGGATAGTGATGAAGAGGGATATAAGGATGATGATGGGAAAGGGAGAGGAGGGAAAGATGATTGATCAATCGACGGGTTTTACCGTCTCACTTTCTCCCTTCCTCTTTCAAAATTAAATTCGCATCTCATCATGACGCATCATTCTCATCTCGCGAGGTTTGTCATCTTTGCGAGATTGATAAGGCGGGTCTGCGATTGGATATAAGAGGGGATGGTAGTGGACACAAGGGGAAAAGAGGGAAATGTCTATGACAAGGAAAGGAGTGATCATAATTAGATTTTTCAAGACGTTAGCGAGGTGATCATACATATGCATTTTGACAAGAAAACGAATCTTGGTCGAATTTATCAGATATCTATTGGATTAACGTTAATTATCTATTGGATTAACGTTTGAGACTCTTTTCAATCACACGTATCAGTACTGATTCAATATCCATGGACTGATTGTGATATCCTTCTGGTATCGTAATATACAACGGTATATACATTCTTTAAGTTCGGATTATTGATGTGATTGGGGTTATTGGGGTTAATTGGAAGTGTGAGAAAGACTTTGTTTGATGTTTTCAGTTTGACAAATGAACTTTGAAGATGAAATTTGTATTGACAATTTTAATGGGAAAAATCAAAATAAAAGAAATCACTCACCTCATCCAATAAGGTCGAAAACCATATGCCGGATTAGGTTTTAAGAAAGCAACATGATCCAAAGTAACATCACTCCCATTAATTTACATGTTACAAACCAACTCTACCGTTTTCTGAGCCAGGGAGAAGATATTTGTTACGTGACCCACGGAAGCCGTGATACTTCGGAGTGTCACGGGGGTCATCATGACTGTCAGAAGATCATGACCTACCAAAGAAATCGTGCCAACTTTACAAGAATCTTTCCTGGCCCAATTCTAATACATGGCTAGGTAGTTGATGTCTTACTCTACAATGTTCAGCTAGAGATACACACTGGAGATGCATGTTTCTCCTCATTTTTGGTGTTTTCCCAAAGATCATTGTCTGCTTTTTCCATATCATGTATGGAGAAAAACAAGCCGAAAATCCCTTCCAGACCTTCTTACTACTTCCAACATCTCTCTATAAGAAGGGATGATTGTTTCAAGCAGTGATGGTCAGTGAGGAGCAATCCTTCTGTGGGTCATGGTCCCACAACCATGACCCTTCGAAGTGGCACGGATCTTCTGACGGTCACGCCATCCCCCATAACGCTCCGAAGGGTCACGGCTTCCGACCGTCACCTAACATATTCATCTAGACACACAATTACGTACCGTGTAAATTTTTTAGGGTATGATGGTTTTCTATTATCTCAAAGTTTTCAAAATAACACCATGTCAACTCCCCATCAAACTGAAATGGTCCCTCATTGATTTCATTTCAGTGGATTTGTGATCTCCGTTAGAGGGTACGTGCCATTACTCCATCACCATCTCGGCGTCTCCTAGGTACTTTGGCCTAAAACTTGTCGCCGGTGAGAAGGAAGTAAGTAAGAGGAAACGAAGTTGTTAGTACGACTCGAGTACCCTTTCATCCGATTTGGCAAACAATCTCCGAGGTCATCACTTACAGGTACAGGTACAGAGATGAAATGATGTACAGCATAGTGGTTGATGGCTTGTGGCTTGATCAGAACGTTTGATCTAGAAGCTTGGACACGAAACGAAAGAAGAAGGGTTTTTAATGGACTGCGAATGATATTATCAGAAATGGTTAAGGTTAGATTTGTCAGATATTCGTTTGTTCTCAATTTCATGGTATCTACTGTACAACTTGGTTCTTAGATCCACACTTCATAGACGAAAGATAAAAACCACAAAACATCATGTAGATAAGAAATGATTGTCAATAAATCAGACCACCTCACTCACTTCGTGTGACGTTTGATTGTTAACTGCCCAAGGTGGAGGGATGGAAGTCTGGGAAGGGGAGTGAGGGGATTTATCAGAGAGCTATGATCAGTTTTTCCATTTCGAACATCATTCCGACGGCGCGACGGTCTGTGCGATCCCAAGGGATCAAACGTGTGACAGTGTGGGGAAAGGGTGAACTTGAGGTGACGATGTCGGAAAGATAAGACCAGTCCGAGTCACCGAAGCATTGGAGGGTGAAGTGTGAGCTGGAGAGTGAGGATATTGAAGGGGAATATCTCGTGATGTATAAGACGTATGTACACTTCCAGTCGAAATTGAATGGAGTTAAGGGGAATGTTGAATTCGGGTGAAGAAACCAAACAAAATACTCACTCGCGTTATGGTTTGTGTGGTAACTTGTATCCCGCTCAACCTTTGTGGTGTCCTTGAACTTGATCTATTCTGAGGATTAGTCCAATTCTCTCATCACGCTTCACTTCACGCCATGATACGGTCTCATAATTCACTCTTAGTAATGAAAGGTTTCATATCCTAATCTCGTGATGACTCCTTGATATCGCTTCATGTAGATTTCTGTCATGGGTGGAGGGAGCAGGTTCGAGATATCAATAAAAGAAGCCAACGTGGGTAGAGTAAGAAGTGAATTACCCACCGAGATCTGTATAACCGAAGAACGATTATACTGAGCAGCATTACTAGTTCCTAATCGTCCTTGTACATAAGAGATTTCTCTTTGAAGTTTGACTTTGGCATTTAGGACGAATAAAAGACATGTGACGTAGACTTTGGGTGTACAGCTGATCGTGAGCCTACAAATCGTGTGGTGAACGACTTATGAGTGAAGATGGGACACGACGAGTGGAAATGTAATTCAGAGAGGATATTATTGCGATTACGTCAGATATATATGTGGGAAGGAGGTGACTCATCATCCGCCAGAATGAATGGTTCACTGTGGTATGGAGGAAGAATGAGGCTGTGATTGAAGTTCAATCAAGAAAAGAGGACAGGACGTGAGAGAAACTCACACGAAGAAAGCTATCAGAGTGGTATTCGGAGCAGCTATATAAAACACGAGAAATACTAAAGCCCTGATTCGTCAGCTCAGAATAAGATATGATGAAAAGCTTACATCATGGTGGGTGGGAGCTGAGTCTCGACCACTAATCTGAATATCAGCCTTGTTTTTCCTACCTTTCCACTCCTCCATCCGACCCTTCACCCGACCTCGTCAGTAGATCAATTCGATTTGTCGTCAACGTTGTAGGGACGAAGCGACTCTCCCTGGTCAATGCCTGGATAATTCGAGAATGCCAAAACCGAGGACGATGACGGGGTGGTGAATGGATATCTTTACATGGTGATGGATAATACAGGAAAGTATGAGTTAAGTCGTGAACAATGGTCCTAATGTAAAGTTGATAGTTGAGTGATAGGAAGAAAAACAAGACGTACAAGAGTAACTTTGTGATAATTTGATTAGTCTCTGACCATTCGCTCCTACTCCTTATCAAGTAAAAAGCTATCACAGAAGTGGTCAAGACGTCGTTGAGAGCTTCACAGATGATCTGCACATCAATAAAGACAACGGCGAAAAAGGAGAACAACTTACCCAGCCCAACACAAGGTATTCCACTGTCTAAAGGTCAATCATGTTTGTCTTTCCCCTTGGTTTAACAATCAACCTCCTACCTCCGCTCGATATTGGGAATGAAAATAAAGAAATGGGAACGAACACGGAGATGGAGTGGTGGGAAGGGGTGAATGAGTATTGGAGGGAAAAGAGAAATTTACGTAGAGTTTGCTCGGATCAGGAGCTAACACTTTCGCAGCAATAGCGGAACTGGTACTTCCCATTCTATATTTCAGTATTCCTCTCTCTATCACGGTGAAACTCAGAAGCGGGTGAAATTCGGGGTGGGTAAGAGAATGGAAGGTCCGGGATGCGGAGGTGAGGAGAGAGGAGAGAGGAGGTTTGGATAAACCTACGCAAGTGATATAGTCAACCCTGCGAATACTTTCGATTTATTGGTCATTCTCCATGCTCTGTCGGCGAAGAACATCTAAAGTTAACACTCGTCCAATTCATAGTCTTTCCGCAAGTCACTTTTCTCCCCCAGCGACCAGTGAGATAGCAAGGTAGGGGATCGGGAGATGAGACAGGGTGATCAATGGAAAACGGATGGTATTGATGATTGGTCAAACACAACTCTGGAGATCTCACGGAGACTGGCGTTCTTGCAAATGTCTCCAGTGTAAAGAACCAAGAGAACCCTATTGTTAAGTAGATTCCTATATTCGTGTGTTGTTGATCAACTTGTGAGGCTTTGTCATCGTCCACGAACGTTCCTCGAGTCGTCCAAAGAGTTATTAGGAGAAGGAAAGATCCAAGGGCTGTCATAGATGATGAGTGGGGGTTCCTCCTCAGGTTGGGATGAGGTATGACCGAGGGAAAAGGGGGTGGAGAGGTTGGACGTAAGTTTGACGAGAAACTCGAATAGATACTGAGTAGAGGAAGAACTCACACCCGGCGTCATTAGCATCTGAGAACGCGGAGTAGTTACCAAAGTTGAATATAAATAAATGGTATGCAAATGCCGATATACTGTAATCTCAGCGTTGAGCATGGGTGGGGGTAGGAAACATACAATATGGTTATGGCCAAGCTGAGAATGACGAGGTACCACTAAGGTGTGAGCGATGATATCGTTTTTATCCTTGTACATCACTTTGCGAGGATTGATCAACGAAATTACCTATAAGAGTTGTTTTGTGGATGGGGTGACAGAGTTGTGAGATCAAGTATGTTATGTGGATAGACAAGGATGACCCGATGGGATGTCAGAGAGGAAAGGGCAGGTGAAAAAGATCATGAGACTGGACACTAACCACCAGTATCTTTATAATCGGGCTCTCTTTCCCCGATGTTATTGCCCATGTCGCGCAGAGTTGAAGAATGACGCCTAATAAAACCGCATCCACTAAGAATCTGATATCAGCCATTGACGATTTACCCATCATCCACCCCCAGTTGATTCACTCTCTCGACACGTCATCGTCCGACATGTCCAAGTGACAAACTTCTATCAGATATGTCTTGTTGAGGGTTGAACAGTGAGAGCTAGCGTGGATGGGGTCGAGCTTGAAGAAGAAAAACTCACCCAACCCAATATGTCCCAAATCCAAAAGCAGGATGAGCCATCAAGAAAGCGGTGTTATCCATGGTTTGTAGAGTAGTATTGACCATCATCTTATCTCACCCTTTCTCCCTTTTCCCAATCCACCTATTCAACTAAATTCTTATTCCACCGTCTGTAGACTTTTTCAAATTTTCACCAATTTCTCTTGAATCACCTGGTATCCTGTATCCTGTCTATGAATCAACAAGAAAGTGGAAGTGGAAGATTGTTTCGGTCTTGAGGGTAGATTTGATTCTCGGTGACTATCCGAACGGAGATGATGAATTGAAACAAGAGGGTGATATCCCTTGCTTACGCCTGATTGGGGAGATACCATGTGCTTTTCATCTTTTCCGAATCTGTGGTTGTTCGCTTGAGGTGTTGTTCGGTCCTCGACCGGAAGGGCGGTTAGTGGGGATAATCATTCTTTGTCGATCTGTGTGGTTATTCTCTTATCTTACTCTTTCATCCGAGGGGAAGGGACTCACGTGTGATGGATGCTTCCGGGAGGATAGAGATGGTAGTGGTTGGTTGGTTGGTTGGTCATAATACAGCTGGATCTTGGGTCAGTTGATAGGGGGTAGAGTATTGTATGATGTTGTGATAGTGGGAAGAAAGATAATAGGTGGAAGAAAGGATCCTTCGGTTTTGATGGTGAAGGTTCACGTGAGTATTACGCACGGTAAGTACCAGTTGTTTGTACGTATGTGACTTACTTGGTACGTGCCATTAGCAAGTCAATAGGGGTCAAACGGTCAGCGAATAGGGGTATTTGTGTAGGTGTGAGTACAGTACAAATGTTGATATGGTGTGTCTGTCAATTAGTAACGACTCACATGAACAATATCACTTTAAAATGTATATTCTACTTATCTACTATATCGACCGCCTTCCACCCCCAACCCCCCATCACGTCGACCGCTCTACATTCCTACTGGAAATGTATCTGTCCACAAGGAGCTTGACCAGTCTGTCCAAAAGCTTTCTTTTTATCATAAGGAAAAGTCTCTTTCCAATGATTAGCGATTTCTTCCCTAGTAGCTACCCAAACACCTTCTTTCTCACTTATATACTTTAAAAAACCTTCAAACCAAGAAGTTCTAGTCGCTCTTCCGATAATATGAGGATGTAAAAGAACAGTCATCATCCTCCCTTCTCCTCTTGATCCTTCGGCGTATAAACAATCAAAAGTATCAATGAGATAAGTTGCGAAATCTTTTGGTGACGCCCATCCTGAACCTTTACCGTTGAACCTCCAATCGGATGTATCGTAAGACATTGGTAACATTAAGAGTCCTTCTGATTCACCTGATAGTGATGGTTGGTAGTATGGTAAATCATCCGTTTGAGAATCGGATGAGTAAAGGAGAGGAAGGTTTCTTGTAGAATGAGCAAGGGAATAAAGTTTGGTAGAGATGTTCGAACGACGATCCATGAACCATCCTGTGGATTAGTGATCATTCACCAAGCTTGGTTTGATAGGATGAGTGTGGATGAAAATACAAGATAGTTGCGAATGGACAACAGGTTGATGAAAGTAACCTTTAAACTCACCTTTGGGCAAAGTCTTATCACCGGTCAACTCTTGCAACTTGTCAATACTGAGATTGATCAATTCATCTTCCGTCTCAGGAGAGATATCCATGTTATTCCACCAACGATGTCCACCTAAAGACATTTCGTGACCTGCTTCGAGGATAGGTTTAACCCAATAAAGAGCTTGTTCAAGCGCGCGGGTGTCTAATATTAGAAATATTCAACAATAAACCTAAAATAAATAGTAATTTGAGACATGAGAGAATTGGCCAGCACAGAGAGTAACCTTCGATCGAGGGGAAACGTAAGAGAATCAGCTTGAAAAAGGTGGGATATGAGAACATAGGGAGGAAAAGTGAACAGACACTTACAAATGTTCCAAGTGCATGGCATGTTATATCTATCATCAACACTTTTCCAACCTACTAGAAGTCCGTATAGAATGATATGATGGAAAAACTCACTTTTTGAACAAAGCGAGCAAACGAGGAACCCCCATCATAGCCCCGAACTCTATTTGAGATTCTAACATGTCACTTCTCTCTGTGGTTGGTGTTTTCCTAGGGATCTCAAGGAGATGTCCATCTGCGTATTCGTCTCCTTCGGCTGGGTTTAGTTCCTGGTATTATCAGTTTGGTTTTCATCTCCATTACTTCCATCCGGGTTTTTACCTCCAATCCCACTCGACCAAGTGTCTAGAACCAATGAGACTCCGTGAGGGGATGACTTTCTTTCGTTCTTTACCATCTCTTTCCGCCTTGCTCGGAAGATACTGATAGATGGTGTAAGGTTTTAGATAGGACGCCTGCGGCTGTGTGTATTTGAAAGAATGCTCGAGTAATTCGTATGGACTGATAGATATTCAAGGGTATGAACGATGTTGTAGGGTAGAGTAACGAGCGAGTAGAATAACTCACAGCACCCATGTTATATTGAATCAAGAAATTGACAGCGATCTTAGCACCTCCTGGCCATTTTGGATCAGGAGAAGTATAACCGTATCCTACAAATTCCCTCTCTAACCATTCTTCGTCATATTTTCCCGCCATTGTGTTTTACTTGCAGGTCTCACCTTCTTTCTGAAGCTTTCTATTCGGGTGGTAGTTGGGTAACAAGAAGACCAGTCGTGGAGTGAGTAAAGGGAATATGAACAAGAGTCAGAATCCACAGAAGATGTTCTACGTAGCTACTCTTACTCGCTATCACCACTCCACTGTAAGACCCGGATGTTTGATCCGTGCATCCATTCGGGTAAACCACCCGAAAATCCAAAATTATGGTTTATTCTCGGAATCATCTTATCTCTTGGCTCTTTCTACTTACGATGTTACTTACGGACCAACGACTGTATCTCACTTCGGTTTCTCTCCGTCACTGAAGGATACTCTACTCTACTACTTACACTTACATTTCTTTCACTTTCTTTGAACTCTTGAACTCGTACAGTACTCGTGACATTCAATAACTCTATCACCCTCAAGTTGAGAAATCTCTAAGTACAGTAATCAAGAAAACACAAGATGGTAGCTTGGAACCAAGAGACTTTTTACGTTCCTCCTAGAGATTTCGTAGGGTACGGTCTTGAACCACCTACTGATTGTTGGCCCGATGGAAAGAAAATAGCCGTTTCTTTTGTACTTAATTATGAAGAGTGAGTCGTTCATCAACCTATACCTAATACTTATCCATCCGCTCCTTGCTGGGTTGAGTCTCTAGATGAACAGGATGGGTGGGTAGGTTGGTGATGAGGAAAGTAATAAGGCGGGGCAGAGGGTGAACGAATTACGGTGGCTGATTTATCTAGAGGAGCGGAAAGTACACCTTGGAATGGCGATAAGATAAGTTGTGCAACTCTACATGAATTAAGTTATGATCGTCCCGCTGTGGAAGGTAGGGATTGTATGTCTGAGAATTTTGTGAGTTTTTCTTGTCTTCTTTTCATTTCATCCCCTCACTGCCTTGACACTGTCCATGGTAAAACTCTCCCTATCAAACACAAGGTCACTCGCCTCAAGTGATCAACGAAAAGAGACACCGCGTGAGATGAATCTCTCTGGACGAGATCACACCGGTCCTCAAGTGTGCTCCGAAATCAGGGTGTGAGGTGGAAAGGTGGATCATGAGAATAACCGCTCATGTCAGTTCGAATATGGTATAAGACAAGGTCTCCCAAGACTTTTAAAACTTTTCAAAGAATTCGGTTGGCATTGGACCACTTGGGTATGTGCGAGAGCTTTCGAGACTAGTGGTCCGTATCCTAAAATGTTGGTAGCGGATGGACATGAAGTGAGTCTTTGGGGTTTTCTCCCTCTATTGACTTTCTCCTAATCATCCCACTCCTTACGCTCATCACCATCCCCGTTTATCATCTCCCTCGTTTTACTCATCACCATCCCCGTTTACCATATATCTTTCAAGCATGGAGTAGTTTTTTGAGCGTCATATCGTTGATGACCTTGCCTCTACTCTCGCAGCTAAGGGAACTTTCGTTGTCATAAATCTCTATCGGTCGTTATTTTGACCAAATGAGATGTCATGTCTCTCATTTGTCATCGGGAAGCGGATATCTTACTTTTAATCTAAATGACACCAAAGGAGTATAGTCAGTAAGAAGGGATGTTCAACTGACGATCAGATCGCATGTCACGGGAACCGTTGGGGGATACACGGTAGTAACACTGCCGAAGAAAAAGCTCATATCAACAAATCCTTCGATCGGCTTCAAGAGGCTACGGGGTTGAAGAATGTACCTACCGGTTGGTTTATCGGTGGGGGGTCTGTAAGGCAGAAACTTGTCAGAGCGGAGGTGAGTGAATCATGCTTTGCATCCCATTCTTCCCCATCGACATCACCAACATTACCGAACTCTCCAATCTCACCAATCTCACCACTCTCACCAATTTCACCACTCTCACTAATTTCACCACTCTCACCAGTCTCTCCGATCTGATCGAACCCACCATTCCCTCCTCAGAAACTCACTGTCCCACATATGAATCATCGCATTTATTTCATCCTCAAAAGTGAAGGAACAATTATCAAGTGTATAACGAGAAAGAAGAGAAGAGAGAGATTGAAGGAAACCCGGACGAGCAGAGGAAGTAAGGGGTGAAGGGTGGATAGAAGAACCATGAGATAAAGTCGAATCTGGGATCAGGGGGATAATTAGGAGGAACTACAAGAAAAAGTGTGAAGCTAAATAACTTAGGTTCATAAAGAACGTGGAGTACCTCTGGTTTATAATTCTGATTCTTTCGGTTCAGATTTACCATATTACATCCCTGATCCTTATTCTAAAATCCACGGTGGTAAAGATGAAGGAATGTTAATGATTCCTTATTCTTTATGTACCAACGATCATCGATGTGAGTTGGTTTTTTTTTGTCGCTGGTATCTTCTCTTCCTACCCTTAGTCATCTATACTGGATCTGTCGTCATTTCCCTTTCATTGGTCATCCACAACGTGGCCTCTCGTCATTTCCCTTATATTGGTCATCTAAGTTACACTAGACTTTTTCATATAAGCCTTTCATCAAACACTATTCTACCAGGAATGCTTGACGACTCAATGAGAAAAGCTCATATATTCCCCCAACACATCATTCCCTCACATATGTTCCTTCGAGAGCTTACATGTTATCTTTGATCTCTTTCCCAGAGTTTGGTAAAGTGTAAGGAATGGAAGGCCCGAGCTAACCCCCAGTTTACGTCTCTGGAGGTGCTGGAGTATCAGCACCAGACGATTGGTTTGAACTTATGAAAGGAGAATTTGATCAACTTTATTCCGAAGGTGTTGCTGGGCATCCTAAGATGATGTGAGTGTTTCATCGTTGAATCATTTCCCTACCTCCCATCTCTCCTCCCCTGCATCAAGGTGTGCTCCTCGAAATCAGTCAAATTTACTCATTCCTTCCCCGACTCCACCCTCGATTCATTTCGTCAATCCCGCCTTGAAGTGACATCCTCATCCCCCTTTCACCCGCTACCTCCTTACATCGTACACGCGTAAACCCAATGGTCATCGTCGACTCTTCGCCTCAATCACTTCCCAACAATAACCTTCCAACTTCTACCACCTTCCAATTCCATACACATCCATCTACTTCACTTGACCCACCCTACAAAGAAAAAAAAGGAATCTATGAGAAGAAGAGTAGCTGATCATTAGGACCGTGGCAATGCACAATCGTATGGTAGCTAAACCCGGTCGTTCGATGGCTTTAAGGAAATTCATGCAATACATTTCTACCAAACCTGATGTTTGGGTATGTACCAGATCTGAGATTGCGAAAGTTTGGAGGGAGAAATATCCTTATGAGAAAGTCGGACCGACATATGATTTACATCATTAGTCTTTTTTGACTATTGGATCTGAATCAGACATTATAAGGTTGTCCGTTGGATGTTAGATTGGGGTGGATGGTAATTTATACTCGAGGTGAACAGTGGGTGGAAGGTATTCGATACTCGAGGTAAAAATGGGGTGGACGACATTCGATACTCAAGATGAAGGTGGGGTAGATGATATTCGATACTTAAGTTGAAGGTGGGTGGTGAATGTAGGCATGAGGTGTATACCTGAAGAAACAAGCTTTGAAGAGGTTGATTCGAGGAGAAGACAAGTTGGGGTGGACAAAATGGGTCATTAGTTGATAATCGTTTGTTCAAAGTATATAAACTATACTCTGTCACAAAAGGTGAAGAAAGGAAATGAAGTAGAGAAATAAGATTATGAATTAGATGCATCTTATCGTTCAAATATGGTGTTCTTCACCCTCCTGGAATTCTCTCATGTGTCCCTTGCGTTACCTGTATTCAGATGATACGGTATTCACTGAATTATAAATCTTCTCCACAAGCATGACAAAAACTCTCGTTTCCTTTGGTAACAAATCGTACACGACGTAAGATCCCTTTTCCTATTTCTCCCCTTTTACCATCTATTTCCCCTCGTTTACCATATATCTTGATTATCCAATTTTCAACCTCATCTTTAACCTGTTGTGTCCATTCGGAAGAATGAAATATAAAAGTCCGATTGGTTTCTTTCAAAATTCCCATTATACCATAATCCCTTTTCATACCTTCCTCCTCCAATTCACCTCGCTCGTCTTCTTTCCCCTCCCTCGAATCATGGTCAATAATCGAAGTTGAAGTTGAAGTCATCATGATATCTTCATTCACCGCCGTGTCAATAACACTTGTATCAGATGTATCATCTTGTACCAAAGTGGAATCACCTGATTGAGGAGTTGTAGATGAATCAGGTATAGTCCTTCTCATCATATCTTTAATTTGTTCCACCACACAATCCAAACTTTTCCTAGAAGATGAACCTCTAACACTGATACTGGTATATTCCTCCAACGCAAGGTAAATAATGGTATGATTCGCAGCTTGTCTAGTGGGTAAATGAAGGAATGGATGTACGTTATGTTGGATTATATTTCTCGTATCATCTAATTCTTCTATCCATCTAGGTATGTCGTGTTCGTGTGATGTCTGAGAGTTTAGCTGGAGGTTGGAGGGTCGGAACGTTATTCTTGGTGGGGTTAGAGTGGGTAGTCTTAATGATGGAAGAGGTCTTGTAGGTCTGTTAATTTCATTTTCGGTATCGGTACGATCTTCCGATATATGTTCCAGGAAATTTTGATCAGGTCGATCATGTCTATCAGTGTTGATGAGTCTCTCGTTATGATTACTGGAGACGATTTGTATGTCGCTGTTACCCGTATCGAGTCCATCAGTCTTTTCAGCTTTATCACCACGGTGTATCACGTCATGCGGGGAAGAAGCAGTACTAGTTGTGGTCGTAATTGTAGTTGTGGTCGTAGTTGTAGATATGGTTGGGGCATTGGGTGAGACGGTGTCGTTTTGCTCGAGAAGAGATGGTTGTGATTGACCATTGGATGATTCTGCCGGTCTAAACCCCAATGCAGACAAATTGATACGATTTCGAATTGATGATTCCGTGGCCGTCGATTCGAATGGGGGAGGAGGACTGATTGGTCTGGATGGTCTAACCCTAGGTCCCACATGAACTCTTCCTGTTCTGTATCCTTGAACATGTCTCGAACTCATACTCCTTCCTCCAGCTCCACCACCTCCTCCACCACCTCCTCTACCACCACCCTGGTCGAGACATTCGGGTCGGATAAGATATCTAGGTGGTTCATCAGGATAAGTCAAACATAAATCTTTCGGTCTCATTGATAATTTTAAAAATTCCCATAAACCACCTGGAAACCTTTTCCCAGAGATTTCAGCCCTTTTGATCCTTTCCAAAACAACAACGGAAATGATTAATTTCGTAACGGAAGGAAATAAGATTATTTCTTTATCATCCAGATTTTCACAAAGATCTTTAAGTTTTTGAAAAAGGTAACCGTATAACATATCTTTTATGATTATCCTTTTGATTTTACTCAAATGATATAACCTTCGAATTTCGAGAGGAAGATCTAGAGGATGTATATGATTTTGTTGATTTGATGTAGATGAGGAAACCTCTTTGGATTTCCCTTTGATGTCGGTTAAAGATTGAGAAGAGGTATGGGGTAGGGTTAGGGTTAAAGATGTGATGTTGGATGGAAATGTTAAACCATCTTCGTACATGTCACAAATTATTAAAAGAGGTTCGAGGAGTGATATAGATGTTGGTTCTGTGATTTCGATCGTGGTGTAAAGATAAGGGATGATTAGAGGGTAAGTGTCACGGGATAGGAGAGTGAGGAGAGATAGAGTGGCTAGTTTACGAGAGGAAGAGAGATGGGAGGCGATTAGTTGTAAGATTTCTAGTGGAAGGATAGGGAGGGTCATGTTGATTGCAAGTTGAATTTGAATGGAGAGAGAGGAGTAGTACTTAGTACTTTTTACAAGGGAAGATAGCTGTAGTAGCCTGGAAGCAGCAGCAGTAGTAGAAGCAGTGATAAATGTGTGTAGAAAGGTCTCTGATGTGCAAGTCTGAGAACGATGTTATGAAAGGAGGAGCAAAGTGCGTGCGTGATCTTTGACATCTAGAGGAGCCCCCCCGGAGACGGCCGAGGGTGCGAGAGGTTTCAAGTAAGTAGTCATTCGCTTCTTGTAAGAGGGGGCGGAGATGAGAGAAGGAATAGCCTGTCAATAGAGGTATAGGACCAGCATATAGATCAAAATAACAAAGAATATGCAACCACTCTTGATATGCATTGATGTGTTTATCTAACTTAAGGATCAAGTCACACCACTCGTTCTCACGTCGACAGAATCATGATCATCGGCCTCGTCGACATGTGATCTCGACTGTACTGTACATTATTAATAGGAGACAACATCAAAGGTGGAACCATATGAAACCATTCATACAGGAGACGATCCATTGTCTTCAACTTGTCAGAAGTCGCGATGTCTCCTAGGTATCACATCTCCGCCGACCATCGACAGCCGATATATACCACCCACGTCCAACTGCCCTACTTGTCTCTTCCACAACACAACCCATTCGGACACTCAAGACTATATTCTCCGTTTACACAGACAATTACTTATCAATTATCTAAGAGAAATGAGTTCCACCAATCGAGGCGATTACACTATGTTGAGTTCCGGTCGTGATGAAACTACCAACGTTCCGACCGAGACCGAGTCCACCACGACTCGGACTGAAAATCCAAGTCAAGCGACGCAGAGTCAGACCAATGATATGGGCTATCAACCCAGTCGTGCAATGAACACGATGGAATACGCAGAACCTAGTCGTGAGACGAACACTACTACTACTGTTATCACGGTCGTGACAATGGGTACGGTCACTTGTTCACCCATGGTCGTACGGAATCCAGAGACGGGGGAAGCGAGGTATCCTTACGGCGCGATTTTCTGCGGACCTGGGGGATGTGGGACTAGGGGATGCGAGTGAGGAGTAAGTTTGTCCGGCTGTTGCATTAAATACTACTTGACCAAGACTTTGGTGTGAAGGTAAAGGTGAATGTGAAAATCTCATAATGTAGGGAGATATGCAATCAGAGTGGCTTTTGATTGAACCTCTGAGGCCTAAGGGTTATCCCCTCGGCTCGGAAACGGTGCACTGGGTGAGTAGCTAGCAGCTCGGATTCGGACACTTTACCGATGACGTTATGTATCAATCACGGACACGATGTGTTGTTCTAATTAAGATCCCCAAAGCCACTGACTGCTCTCCACTCGTACCCCTCCATGTCCAAACAACACCCTTGTAGGGTTCCTCTCTGGATATGGAGTTCATGTGCGTGTGTATACCGACGTTCTGCATCTTTCCCGTGCCTCTCTCAAAGTTATCCCTACTTACCCCTCGTTCCCACGTCTTAAAGTATTTCCTTCCCCATCATAAAGTGACTACTCATCCCTTTCCGACGACGAGAACATTTTAAATTGTTCTGCTAACGGATACTTTAAAAATGTGTGGAAGGGATGTGTATTCCCTTTCCTTACCTATCCTTTCCTTTCTTCCTTTCCCAATCTTTCCTCCTCCCACGCCCCTCGTCTACTACTCACACTCTTCTCAATCGTTCAGCCCACAAAGTGTTTTCTGTCGTCTATATCTTGCTTCTTCCTCAACTCATCCCTTATCATCATCCTTCCTCCCTCAACACCTCCTTTGATCCACTGGATGACTTTGAGGTGACACACCATACACCATACCCTCAACGTGCCGTGGCTGATATGTCTGAATCTCCGATACTTCTCTCAATTCCCTCTCGCCCTTTGTTAGAGGGGCAAGGAGAGAACTCCACAGCTTTGATGTTATTAACGCTCCACAGACTTATAAAGAAGTAGATATCAAAGCTCTTCTTCCCCCTTGATTTCTCACGTCTACTAATTTTGTTCACTTTGTATACAGGTATAGGTCAACGTTACCGATAATCCAAAAGTGAAGAACAAGGTTGTTAGGTGGTTTGAGAAACTCTCGTTCTTTTGATCTATCGGATATACAAGCTTGAAATTTGAACGTGGTGTAAGTAGGACTTGTAATAAAGGGGAAGAAACGGCCGTAAAGGATATCAATAACGTTGTTCGTACAAGATGAATCCAGAAGCTGTTATAGAGACTATGGCCTCGAATCGAGGAGTCTACTTAGGTCCTCAATTTCTAGGGTACGTCCATCTTTATCCCCTTGTTACTGTACATCACATCATGAATCGATCAAAACGACAGTGACGCGTCATATTTGCGAACATTGATCAAGGGGATGAGAAATGGTGAAGGAGGATTCACGTTGACGTGTAGATGTTACGTCGACGGGTTATTATTAGGCACTACTCTACACTTGTTCGTCAATTGGTGTAGACATTCTTTCTTCGAAGAAAGGAGGATTAACAAGGTTTTAGTGGTATGTTGACTTTCTTCCTCTCATCTTCTCCCCTCTCCTCTCATCCCGTTTACTCTCCTCCACTCCCCTCCTCTCTGGTCTCCTTTCCTTATCATACAATCTTACACTTCGTCACATGCCCTCTTACTCGTCTCTGGGTCGACTGAGCTTCGCTTTCGGTGCTTGAAATCACATGTGACGTGCTGGGGTATACATCTTACTAGGAAGAAAATCTCTTTCAAGTGGAAAGGGATAGACACTAACTAACAGTTTTATTCAATGTTTCTATGTTTCTTTACTAGTATCTTGTACGTATAACTTTCCTCCCACTCATACACTCATGAGAATCTACCCTTCACTATTTCAGTGCCGGCATATCGTCCATCCGGGCGTTTCTCCCCAATCGCGTGGAACCCCCCCCCTACTTAAGATTCCACACTTCACACTTACTTTTGTTTTGTCTGCCTCCTCGCAATAAGCGCCATCCTCACATCATCTATGCTTCGTGTAATTCCGAGTTAGTCGAACTTAGTCTGACCATCAGTATACTAGTATGGAAGATGGAGATGTTCGTCTACGATTTTGGGGATTATCGCCTTCTTCTTTCTGAGAAATGTGAGTATCCCTTATTTTTGACTTACCTTGAGGGAACATCGAGTACGGATAAAATTGATGATCAGTCCAATCTTGGGTTCCGTTGCTTGATGGACTGGCTCGTGTTCCCGTTTCGGTATGTGATGTTTTTCTTCTAATTCACACTCCCTACACCCGACCCCTCACTCATTCAAATTACCCGCTTTTCACTTCTGCATCTCTCCCTCGCATCACAAGGCATCTGCCGCCTTGATCCAAGCCTCATCGCTCAAGCTGAATAGGTGTTCTATTGATTGTGGGCTCAGTCGGTCTTTCCGATGGGGGCGGATGGTGAATAAGGACGGAACACTCACCTTTAGGCATTCTTCGCCCATCGAGCATGGCGAATCACCGGATCGTGTAAATACCTCGGAACCACACTATTTGTTCTCATTTTGACCACTTCTGTCGGGTCTATTGTGTCCTTTGTATTCGCTGTGGACGCTGCCAAGTTCCAAGTACGTCTTTCCTCCCTCAAGTGTTTGATACGACATGTCGTTAATGATCAGAAAGTTGTAAAAGTCTTATATCTTGTTGTATGTCTTTCATTTCTCTAAATACACCCACTATGACCCTATCTCTCCTCGGAAGCCATCTCCCACCTTTGTAAGCACTCAAGGCACCAGAAGAAATTATCCATGACTAATTCTATGGGTTAGATGGGATGGGCCAGAATCTGTAGGGTGGAGTGGGTGGTTGAAGCAAGCTAACGCGCAGTCCGCATCAGAAGTCGCCACCAACATCATCATCACCAGTGTCATTTCGTTGAATTTATGGCATAAAAGAACAGGCTGGGAAAGTACTAATCGACTTCTTTCTCGATTGATCATGCGAGTTTCTCCTTCTGCACAAAGAATGACGGGGCTGATTGTATAGTCAGATTTTCGAAGCTATGACACCACCGACTGTCATGTGAGTGAATACCGTTGTTTTGTCTCCTGCTCTCCCCTTCCACTCGTCAAGTCAGACATGAGGGTTTGCCCACCCAATAACTGTTGGTTCACCGAGTTTTGATACGTTTTCTCGCAGCATACGCTGCCATACTCTACCTTTGAGTATAATTATCGCCCCACTACTTTTGTAAAGTAGGAAAGGTAAACCAGGAGGGATACAATGGTAAAGAGAAAGACTGACGCGTAGTTCTTTGGTATTCTTGATTATGCTCGCTATCAACCCTACTTCTCCGATCGAACCATTCCTCATGTAAGTTACCTCTCCGCTCACTTACGTACTTCTCGAATGAAAGCTGAAGAAAAGTTTCGTGCCGAAAGTATACTTCATCTCCCTCTTGGTGGTATTGAATTCAAAGCGACACTTCAGGGCGGAGCTCGAATCGAACAGTGCTAATACCTGGGTAAGTGATTTCGACCAAGTGATAGGATTTTATTGACTTGAAGGGTGGTGAGAAAGATTCGGATACTCAGAGATTACACGAAACTCCAGGATTGAGCGTGTTGCCAAGTATCAAAAGTCCTTCTGTAAGGACGGAAATACATGTGGCAATGGAGACTGAAACTAAGGTGAGTTATTTTCTATTATTGATCAGTACCTCCTTATTAATCTGGTACACCGTCATCCTCATCAGTTTCCTTCCTATCCTCTATCTTTACGAAGTTTAGCGCACCATGATATCACCTCTCATCAGAAGTATGATGGTGAAGAAACTACTAACCCCAGGTTCATACAACGCCTTCTTGGGCTCATCGTCCTTCTATCAACCGTGATCCTGATCCTCTTGTCGTGACTGCTGAGAGAGTATGGTCCAATCCTCCTAGTCCAGGACGCGACATCCCTCGTAAACCCGTCCCCAAATTTCTGGCGGATCAGACGGAAACCACATCGACGGTTTCTCCTCGAGTACCAGATTCCTTACATGGACCTAATGGTAAATCTTCGTTGACGTACGATCAAGTGGCTCCTTATGGTTTTGCTGTCTAGTCGCTTACGGTCACGTCTATCTCGCGAAAGTTGGATATTGAATATTGTGAATACGTATGTAAGATGATGGATATCAGTGTTATATTTGGACGAGTAAATATGTTCTTGAAGAGTTGAGCTCTATTTAATAATTTTGTAGTGATCGTAATGTCGTGATAGATGTATTTCTCTTATTCTTATCCTGTGACCAAGCTGTGCAAATCGGAGAATGTTGTACAATGTTCTCATGTTCAATACCTTGCGATTACTCGTACGTGAAACATTCTGTGACTACTTTCAATTCCAGTCCGATCTTCAAAACTCAACCCGGCACTTCGGCGTTGATCGATCTACGCCCCCGATCCGCTCGTTCCTCGATCGCTTGCGCCCCGAGAAGGCGCGGGGGAAGAGGCACGCGGTCATTGGGCCTCCCTGACCGCCCTGATGGCCCTGATCAAGACCGCTGATGACCGTGCCAAGCGTGTGGCACTTTTGACTTATGATCACCGCACGGCGGAGGTTCAGAGCGAGCTTTTTAAATATTGGGAAGAAGATTCGTAAAGTGACGGGTCTTGAGACCGTAAACCGCACCGCTATATATTTCTTGATTCTATTTCAACGAGTTTATATAGTGAGATCTTTTGAAGTGTGTTTATACCTATCATCACGACAAGTTTTAATCGTTACAAGCCAAGAAATAAGTTAATTTATATACGTAGACGACAGATAAGAGACGAGAGAAAGGAAAGAAGAAAGAAGAAAGAAGGAAAGGACAAGAAGAAGAAGAGGAAGAAGAACACACACAACATGTCTGATTCAAACCATTCTGATCATTCGGATTATGGATATACTCCTTCTCTCGCCCCGGCAGTGGCTTTTATAGTCTTGTTCTCTGTATCTGCCAGTGAGTCAAGTTCTCTCGTTTTCCGTCTTGGGTCAAGTAGATGAAATACGGTCATACGTCTTCCCTCCTTTATCAAATTCCGGGATTTTGTATCATTCTCCAAGATGTTGGCAGATGAAGCGAAACGCTTGGTCTTTGGAGCGTGTCAACTCTACAGGAGTGTCATGGTGGCGAATGGTTATTTTTCGTTCAGTGTCGTTATAATCGTGCTTATCTCTGTGACTGAGGAAAGGATTGATGACTGAGTGTAAGGCTCGACCATGATCAAATCGTGCTTATCTATCTGACTGAGGGAAAGACTTGACTCTGATCATGACGAAGAAATGGGAACTGGGTGGCAGGAGGAGTCTCAAGTCGAGTGGAGTCAAGACATGTTCATTAAACTGATTCACAGTCGTACACTCCATTCAAGCGTTCCGTAGTAGATATTGGATTGTCTATCCGACATTGGTATTAGGAGCTTTGGTAGAGATCCTCGGTTGGTCAGCAAGGTTATGGAGTCATGAGAACGTTTTACTCTTGACACCTTTTTTGATGCAGATTTCTACGTGAGTTACTCCTTTTCATGTCACTTCCCTCTCCCCCTTTCCCCTTTCCCCTCACTCACTTCCCTACTCCCTCCCCCTCTTTGTCCTCACTCCCTGTCTTTGTCCCCACTTCCCGTCTTTCCGTCCGCCCAGCCCATATATTCATCAGTCGTGTTCGTCACCCCTTTCCCCCTATCGTACTGCGACAAACTCCCCATGCCCCTAACATACCGCGACATGGTGCAAGAACGCATGAACGTTGAGGGAGAAAAATGCAACTGTATTAATAACATTCTAACACTCAGTCTCATCATCGCCCCAGTTTTCTTCTCAGCCTTCGATTATACCCTTCTCGGAGTAGCTATCTCCCGATTAGGTCCACAATATTCTATCCTTCGACCCACTTGGTACTTAGCCATTTTCCTAGTAGCCGATACAATATCCCTCGTTATCCAAGCTGTCGGAGGTGGTAAAGCATCCGCAGCCGCTGCAAAAGGTATCCCAACAGCTTCAGCCACTGATACCATGGTAGCGGGTATCATCATCCAAATGATCGCCATGGCCGTTTTTGTAGGATTAGCATTTGATTTCATTTGGAGAGCGAGTTTGAAGAAACCTTATGCTTTTCAAGAAAGAAGATTGGAGAAAATCATCGCTAGTAGAGGTATAGAACTGGGTCCTAGAGAATTATCTTCACAAGGGTTGGAAGGTGGTTCCGGTGGGGAAGAAAGTGTTTCTGATAGAGGTGTTGGGAGTGTCGAAAAAGTTGGAAGAGATGGGAGAATTGGGCAAGGTGAAGAAAGTTTGAGGAATTGGTGGATCTTAATGGCTGGAGTGGCTATTAGTAGTGTTATGATTTTACTTCGAGGTGAGTAGAATCCCTTAACTGAATATCAAACTTTCAACTTCCTTCATAAGTTTCGTGCTACCAAACAATCACCATTCATCTCGTTATGTTTTAATGACCCGTCAATTAATTCTTTTGTATGATATTCGTAGTGAAAAACAGTCACATAGCTTATTACACAGGTATTTACCGTTCGATCGAATTAAAACAAGGATGGTCAGGTCATTTAATGACGACTGAAATATTCTCAATTTGTCTCGATGCCATCCCTATGGTCATAGCAGTCGCCGTTTTCAACTTTATAAACCCCGTTTTCCTCTTACCCCGTCGACCGGTTTGGAAAGGGTATCATTAGATGTGGTAGATTTTGGATGTTCCAGTCATCTTTGTTCAACTTTCCTATATTATCTCATTTCATCAGGATGATTTCCCACGGGATGTGGGATTCTATGGGTGATGAGGGAGTTTAGGAGGGAATCGAGAGTCAAATATTAAGAGAAGATGAAGAGTGTGAAACGTACAGTAAAGAGGTGAGAGGGTTAGTGGACCTGGATATTGGATGGAGTGTCAGATCTGTCATGGACATTTGAAAGATGTATCTTTGTGTTTCGGTCAATCTAGTCAAAGATAAGCTATCTTTTCTTTTTATAGATTTTCTTCATGTATCTACTTCAAACTTTCATCATCTTACTGCAGCGACTCTTTCATAGGTAGATACGTCCAGTGCGAGTCTTCCATCATTCAGGTATTGTGGCTCTCGGTTCTCGTCTTCAAACGGTTTTGTATCTGAGCAGTTTTGTATGGATTGCTAATATCGTCCTACTGCGTGCTCAACGAAAACCTTCTCAGAAAAGTGGTACCTCAAATCGTAGCAGATGACGAAAGAACTCTTTCAGTTCAAGAATCATTATCCATACTGTACGTACACCCTTGCACACCGAGTTGACAGACAGATACGTCGTCGATTCATTTATAAGTTTATAGCTTTTACACATACCACCTCACATGGGATATTCCACACCTCCACCGTTCCTCCTCGCTTCGATAGCTCGGGTACGAGCGGCAGTGATGAGTTGTACCCATTCTTGTGCTTGTCGAGCGGAAGTTGCTCTGGTGGTTAGACGGCATTCCTATATATAACTTCTGCCACCCAGACACAATAGGTTGATGTTCTGCATCGATTGACGCTCAGACATCGACGTGCGTATAGCTTGGCGCTACTCACAGACGTCTTATGAAGAAGATTTCTAATCAGTCGTAAGAGAAGAAGTGGAAACAGTCGAAATATATAATGGAACCCACCGAAGACGGATCGTATCGTCCCCTCTACGATAATCAACTTTTAACGCAAAACTATCATCTTTGGCATGTCGGAGTGAAACCTCATGTAAAGGTATAGGCTGAATGTCAACTTGACATGCCCATCGTCATCATCACACCTTATTGTGTGGGCGATTTTCAAGACAGAACATGAAGATCAAAGGATCAGGGTATCGTTCATGAATGACTTCACTCACCATACGATACAAATTTCTCGATTCGATCAAGACCAAGATATCATTACACAATACCAAAGTCAATTTCCGACCCGATTTGGCTTTTGTCACTTGGCCTTCTTTGAGTAATCGACGAGGACCGAGGAAGGTTGTAGGTGCCGTCAGGTCCAGTCGCCTAGGGAGTCAACTCTGGTCAATTCACCATCACCACGGATATCGCCGGAAGAATGCATTATGAATCATGTATGAGATGTGGGTGCGGGTAGGGGATGGGAATGAGGGAAATGAAGACAGAAAACGGTAGATCTCTAAGAAGAGGATAAAGACTTACCCCTCACCACCAACCCAAAGATCTTCACTCAGCATCTTCAACGTCTCTTGACCCTCGACCTCGCGTATACCTTCGTTTATCCTAGCGACTATACTCTCCACGATTCGAAGTGCTCTTTCGACTGAAGAGATGTCTTGATCCGGTTCGGTGTAATGAAGAATCTGATCGTTAACGTTTAGACACAAATAATCGTTCGAAGATGAAGTTCAGTTCAGTTTGAGGACTGCCAGTGGTGTAATGTTTGAGTGAATGAGAAAGTCATGAGTACCATGGGTGACGGGCGGTCGTCCGAGTGAGAAAGACATGAATGGCAGGATGGAGAAAAGGAGGAGAAGGGAAAGGGTGGGGGTGGGGGGTGGGGGGTGGGGAGAGAGGCAAAACTCACTTGCTTGAGCAACAGAGGATATCTAGTGATTCTTTGCACTGCAAAGTCAACATCGGGACAACTGACTCTCTCTCTGGATCACTCCTCACTTGACTAGCTCATTGTATTATTACACCGAGACCGTAAAGCGCATCAGGAGAGAAACACAGAGGCAAGAGTATACAAGGACGGGTCTCAGGAGAAGGTACTCGAGAGGGGATGTTTTCGATCTCCGTCAGACCTTGAATTTTCAACTCACTAGGTATTAACAAAAAACTTGATAAATCTAATCCTCTGACCAATCCTTCCTCCTCTCTCATCTTATCCAACCATCCTGCCAACCCCTCATCACTTTCTCTCAGAACGATCAACTCTCTTGCAGCTCGATGTTGATTAACACAATAAGTCATGTAACCTCCCATAGCCGGCATCCAGTCTTCCAATATATCACCAATGGTGTCGACGTATAACCTACAAGACTTTTGACGTTGTTCCAGAGCGGAAAGAAAACCGGTATTGGTCAAAAGTAGATCTTGGATGTTTGTAAAGATTGTTTCGAGGTGATCGGGTATACGAGTCATAAGACCTGCGTAAAAGACCTAGTGGATGAGCATTTCCTTGATTACAACAGAGGGTTGAACTGAAGTCTGCTCGATTGAGGATATGGCGGATGGGATGATAGTCTTATGTAGCAGGGGGAGGGGTGTAGAGTGCGTGTCCTCGTAAGGGAGCAAGTATCACAGATATTGTATACGGGTCATTATGATGATTGATTTAACTCAATATCTCTAAAGAGAGAAAGGGTTGAGAAAGTCAAGTCATTTGAATGAAAGCACCAGGGAGAAGCTAAGTGTACGAAGCGAGGCAACAACGACCTGAGTGATGATTGCAGTCATGTGTGACTGTGTGATGGGGAAGAATAGACAGGGGAGTTACGGGAAAAGGGCAGATAACCCACCTCTACCACGACCTGTAAATCACGATTATATCCTATCTCCGTAGCGATAAACTCAAAAATAGCTTCTTGTCTCTTTCTCTCCCTTTCACTCATACTATCTAATAAATCCTTTTCTACCAAACTACTCCAAGTCTTTCCAACTTCTCCATCCATCCTTCCTCTTTCCCCATCTAACATCTCTCCATCCCGATTCCCATCCCCATCATCAAATCCCTGCACTGTCGCTATATGAGAAGGATGATTCTCATCGAGAGAAATAGGACCTGATATCATTGGTAAAGGTGATTTCCTATCTGCAGAAGTAGTTTTCATCCATGCTAATAACCCCGTCAACCTACTTTGTGTCAAATGAGAAGGAGGTGACGTGACTCTATCTCCGAGAGTAGTAAGTGTGGGGGTTCCAGTGGTTTGAATGGATAAACGGGAATTTGATCGAGGTCGTCTTGGAGAAGGTGCAGAGAGAGTTGAAGCTAGATATTTTTCGTATCTCGCATAAGCATCTTGAGTCGCTTGACCTTCAAACTTGTCTTGTTGTGGACTTATCTTTTCCGAATTATTGGTGTACTTGAAAAGAGCTGTATTTGTTTCGTAGTCGTTAGTCTCTTGTCGAGTGTCGAACGTTCTTTCGTCGACATCCTTTACTTGAATACTGGGAGTTTGGGTATGTATTTGAGAATCTGACAGTCGATTCCGATGAGAAGTTTTCACATCTGCAACGGTATCGAACATACTCGTCGGACGTGAGGGTATAGCAGGTGCAGCTCTCCTACTTCCTCCTTTACTTACATTCCCATTTCTATCCATATCCAACCCAATCACGTCGACTGTGGCATTATTCCCAGTTTGCGCCAGAATGGGGACGGCTCCACCAACGGTGTGAGATGGAAGAGAGTCATAGTCATGGTGAACCTTGTCTCTGCCAGGAGCAGGTGGAGGCCTCCTTCTGGTCCGTTCGGACGGTCGGATCGGCACCCCAGGCGGTTCCCTACGAAGCTTCAAACCCGCTGCATCCATAATCTTACTTCTTTCGATTTCTCGACGTTTCTTTTCGTCTTCTTTTTGCCGTCGTTCTTCTTGTCTCTCTTCGTTCGATTCGAGATCTGATATAGAAGACGCGTCGGAGGACCAAAAAGACAGTACCGAGTCAGAAGAAGAGGATGAAGAGACCGAGAGGATGGAAGGAGAACGACCACGGCCGAGGGAGGATGTTGCGAAATGATCATCAGAAGGATTACCTTCAGAAGAAATATCATGGTCAGATGTGGGAGGGAGAATATGTTTCGGATTAGAGGATGAAGAGAGGACGTCATGAGGAGGGAGAGGATGGGAAGGGGCAGGAAAAGTAGCTGAAGGAGATACTTCACCATCTACTCGTCTCTCAGCTGTGGGAACTGATGAAATAGCTGTTAGTACAATCAACACAAACATAAAAGTTAGACGATTCAATCCGGATCGATATTCATTCGTTTATTTGAGGCAGAAGTTGTAAAAGTTGGTAAAGAACACAAGAAAATACCGCTCAGCCTGCATCACCGTCAAGACCCGTTCTGGGGTTTTCAGAAAAAAAGACTCACCCATCAAAGTCATATAACTGGCGGGAACCAGGAAGATTGTGCCTGCTTTTTCAACCTTCCACCAATCAGGTTCAGAGTGATCGACCACGAGAAGGATGTCATCGGCCAGGAAGGGGAGTTCTTCGGGAGTGGTACCTTCGTAAGGATAAAGAGCCTTGGCTTGGACGGCTGAGTGTCAGTGGGAGCGACATACATTTGTAATATCAGGCTATTGGTATGACTTCAAGTGTGAGAAGGAGCCTCAGGAGATGCAAAACACAGGGGCCCATGTCAGGCCCTCAGCGCGTGTGTCGGAGATAGGTGGTTGAAGGGAGGGGGAACGGGGTTTAGATCAGATGAGGGTACAATCAACTCACCATGTATCTCCTCAACGTAAGAATGAGGGAACCAGCCCGTCTTTGCCTCGTTGATCAAAGTACCATACCACCAATCGCTCGAAGCGTCTTTGGCGGGATGTGCCTCGATGACGACATTTTCCTTGAAAGACAAATCGACGTCACGCTGACCTTCATAGGCGTACATTGAGCGTACTCGGATTGCTACAAGGCGTCAGCATAATCCACAAATCACTCGCAGTATCACCAGCTAACCAGAGGTATCAAGAAGTGATCGCAAGTAATGTCAAGCCGAGAAAAGCCTCATGATGGAAGGATGGGTAATACAGGTCGCCGAACCGCGATCCTTGTCGGTGTCAGATTCGACAAACGAGGAATTGTAAAGTGGATGGGCATAGACTAATTCGGAAACAGAATACACACTCTTTGTCAAATCAAACTCGTCCAACTCATCCCCCGCATGTCCATTCTCCTTGACTTCCTCTTCTTCCGCTGTGGAACTCAATCCCGAACCATCATATCCATTCCCATTGGCATGCACATCCGCAGCTAGACCAGCATACCAATCCACCGATTGTCTATTTAGATTCCTAAGTTTGTACTCATCCTCATCACCATTCTCTCTGTCCTGATGGTCTTCCATTGGGGCGTTTTTGGCATCGAAGTTATTCTGTGATGGCAAATCCTTCGCGACTGACGCAGAAGTTCTCGTGGGAGATGGGAGGGATGGTGTAGTGTTGATATGACTTGGAGGGGCGGCATCACCTAGTACAGCACCTGCACCTTGAACAATGCTCTTATCTACGGTTTGAGCCTTGCGCAATTTTGCACCACCCGTTATAGCGCTCAACAACGCTCCACGACCAGCGGTGGGATCACCGCCACCCAGATTTGCCAGAGCGGCAGGGGGAGCAGGTGCTGGAGGAGGTGGTGGCGGTGGAGGAGCAGAAGCTGGGGCTGTGGAAGATGGTCTCGATGTCGAAGGGGAGGTCACACCACCTAGTATACCACCGAACAAAGCGGAAGCTAGGGCACCTCTTTTGTTCCGTGAATGAGCATAGTCGGAATCGGAATCGGAATCAGAGTCAGCTTCTTCCTTCTCCTGAATGACGTCCCATTCGTCTTCCTTTTGTACCGGCGTACTTCGCGATGACGGGGCGAAGGAAGTGGCAGAAGCCGTGGGAGCGGTTTGGGGAGGAGGAGCAGGCGGTGTAGGCGGTTGAGGAGGAGGAGCAGCGTCAGAGGGAGGAGAAGCAGCAGCAGGAGTAGCTTGAGGTTTGAAGAAAGGATTGAAGCCGCCTCCCGATGCTACAGGGGTGGAGGAAGCTCCAGGAGTGGCAGCGGCGCCGGGCTTTCGGAAAGGGTTGTAGGATCCTTCGTTTGACGCTGCATGGCTCGGCGCGGGAGCTTCCGGTGGAGCGGGCGCTGGGGGTGCGACGGGAGGTTTGATTGGAGAAGCCACGGTTTGGCGAGATTGACGAGCAGCAAGAAGAGCTTCTTCCTTTTTCCTCTCCTCTTCCTCTTCCTTCTCTAGCTGAGCGAGACGAGCACGTCTGTCCGCAATGGCTTTTTGACGTGCTTCTTCTCTTTGACGTAGTTCGACCTCCTCAGGGTCTTCATCTGGTCGAGAGGCAGCTACAGGGGCTGGGGGAGCTGGGGGAGCAGAAACAGCTGGAGCTCGAGTAACAGGCGCGGGAGGGCCTTTTCTAGACGGCGGAGCTGGGGGAGCAGCAGGCTTCTTCATGGCCGACCTGAGAGGTGCTGGTGATGCTGGAGCTCGAGAGGCAGGTGGGGCAGGAGGAGGAGGCGCGGTCGAAACTGGAGTAGTCGGGGATTCAGTGGAGACCGAGGGAGTGGATAAACCCAATCTCTGTCTTCTAGCTTCTTCTCTCGCTTCCAGATCTTTTTCAGCCGACGCGGACTTTGCTTCTGCTTCTTTCTTTTCTCTCTCTAGTCTCTCTTCTACACTCTTATCCACCACGGGCTGTTCCGGCGGAGCCGACTCTACACCCAGAGCGCGAAGACGGTCCTGAATACGTTTCTGAGCTTGTTCACGGATGAAAGCGGAGCGTTGTTCCGGTGTCATATTCTTGGTCGAAGGTGCCGCGGCCGTCGAGGTGGGAGCTGGGGGAGGTGGAGGTGCTGCGATTGATGGGGCAGGAGGTGCGGGAGGTGGAGAACGTACAGCAGGTGGAGATCGAGGTCTGGAGTCTCTACTACCGTTACGATCATATTCCCTGTCTCTTGATCTTTCACTAGATCGACCGTAGCCATCGCTGTCTCGTCGGTCGTACCGGTCGTGGTTACGGTCTCTGTCATTGTGATAGTTGTCACGATCTCTGTCCCTCTCACGTTCTCGACTGCGATCACGACGATCGTAAGACCCACGGAGCCAGTCGCTTCCACGATCATCTTCGTATCCATATCGACCGTGGGATTCGTTCCTCTTGTCCCTAGCTCTCACACCCGCACGTTCCTCACGCCTTTTGTCTTCCTCTCGTTGATTTTCTTTTCTCTCCAATTCCGGAAGTTTTTCGTGCATGAGGAATAACATCTCCCTTTCCAGCTTCCGACGCTCTTCATCTTTCTCTACCGTCTTCCGGCCTTTCGAGACGTATTCGATATCCTCCTGAATCCTCCGGACCCTACGACGGATGTCCTCCTTTTCAGCCTCAAGTTCTTCATCTTCAGCTGATCGCCGAGAATACTCGTCATTCCTCTGATCGAGCAAAGCAGAGGTGTTGGCCAACTGGCGTCGAATGTCACCGATTTCCGCTGCACTTTCTTCACCGGCGTAGCGGACAGACTTGCGATCCAGATGGCGAGAAGACGGTTTGTAACCGGAAGGTCGGTTGTCATCGTGCTTGTACATGGTGGCGTCTTTCGATGCAGGACCTGGGATGGAGGAGCCATAGGATGGTGACGAGGCGTTGGATCGGGCGGATGATTCATGTTTGAGCAAGTCCCGCATGAAATTAACCGTGGTGTCGATATCGCGCATTGAAGCAGGAACGAGTTCCTCTGGGAGGGTATCTGGAATGTCGTTGCCGTTGAGAGCTGGAATAAGTAGTGACCCCTTCCACTGAGAAAAGCGTGGATGAACGCTTGGAATTAGGTAAAGTGACTGAGGGTTGTTCGGCCAATGATACTTGGGGTGCGGCCGAGATGTGGATTCGGAGGACAAGGACGGCAGCATCGCCCTACTCACCTCTATAAATCAACCCCATGGCGACATGGAACTCTGGCAAGTTGAGTTTACCCCTGTTGCTGACGTCCGACAGGTTCCTACGAGTCAGCGACTCACGATCAGTCATGCGAAAGAAGACGTACCAAACCTTCATCAGATCATCCTGCCCCAAGCCACTTTGACCAAAGACCTCTCTTGCCATCTCACCCGTGATGAACCCATCTCCCTTGACATCCCATGCACGAAAGATCTGATCGTAGTCTTTCTTCTCCTGTCGACTGAGTGCCCAGGGGACCTTGGGAGTTTTGACGGAAGGGTTTTGGAGGAGGGATTGGAATGCCTGAGTGAGCGGTTGGGCGTTGGGAGTGGGGTTGAATTGTGGTACTCCAGAGGGAGCGAACGGCTGTGCGTTAGCGTGTCCTCTTCCTATACTGCGCCTGACGCCTGGACAGCGGCATCGGGAGAATGAGTTTGAGGGTGGACGGTGCGTGGCACGGGCCACATGTCTGAGGGGCTGTAGGGAGGAGGGAGTAGGGAAGGAGTGAACGAAGTGAGCCAATATCACTCACCTGACTTAAATTACTAGGCATGAAACTCTGTGTCATCGTCTGCAATCTCGTATCGTAAAACCCGGTGGGTTGAGCCCTGAGGAACCCTGTCTGTTGAGGCATCAATCCAGTAGGTTGTGATAACAAACCTGGTTGGAAGCCGGTTTGTTGAGGTAACAACCCACTCACACCTCCACCCGGGAAACCGGTTTGTTGTGGCAGCAATCCGCTAGCTCCCCCACCAGGGTAGCCGGTGGGTTGTGACGATAGTCCACTAGCTCCACCCCCGGGGAAACCCGTCTGTTGGGGGTTGAGACCTGAAGGGCGGAATGAGGATGGTGGTTGGTTGAGGAATGACAAGTTTGTCTGTTGTGGAGGAGGTTGGTTGAGGAATGAGAGGTTCCCTTGGGGTTGTGGTTGTTGAGGAGGGGGACGAAAACCTGTTTGAGCGGATTGAAGATAGCCAGTGGGTTGGGGTTGGAACCCGGTGGGTTGAGGGGGAAAGGCATTGTAGGGGTATTGCTGTTGTTGTTGTTGTTGCTGCCAGGGCTGCATGATTGGGAGATTAGGAGGGGGATTCAGGAAGAGTAGATATGTAGGGTAAAGAGGGGGATGAGAGAGAGAAAGATGCGGGAGGAGGGAGGGTGAGGTGGGTGTGGTGAGCCTGACAACCGAGGGATGAGGTTGGGAACAGTCAGCCTGACATCAGTTAGTATATCCCCGTCGTGGCGGATTGCACCTCGTCGTGTTTTCTCACTTTACTTGTATAACATTCACTCAAGGATAACTATCATATATATACGTATAGTACCACTTATAGCACTCACTGCTGCACTGCTGACTAGTCGCATACTGATTGACATTCACCCCAGTGATAACGTGCGACACCATGGACAGCTTGGGTCGGAGACGGCCATGAGACATGGCTCACCCTTCATGAACCACTTGACCCTCAATGTCACCGACAAGGACCAACTCTACGGACAAAGGGTCATCCACGTAGCGATGAATACATCACGTAATGGACCTCTCAAAGACACATGTAACAGGCTCACACCACCACCGTCACCCCATCCTGAACGTGTATGAAAAGGAAAGGACTCTGGTCGTTCCATCAGGGTGATGGAATACCTGGTGTCAGATAACAACAAAGGAGTGATGACTATAGGGTGAGTATATGAAAGGAATTGACGAGGTTTAGTGATTTCTCCCTCATTTCGTGATATTTTCTCTCACTTTTCGTCACACCTTCAGTACCTACGTCGGTCAAGGGTAGTGAGTGAGCTGCAGGTTCCGACACCATTACAAGTTGTGGAGATTGAGTCTTCCATCAGAGGTATACACGTGAGTCACCGTCGTTGAATGTCATCGACTCCACTGACATCTTCTCAGAGAGAGAAATACATATCATCAAAAATATATTACCTGGCATCTTGGCCTTCCCTATCTCAACATCTTACATTTCTTCTTCGGTCAGGTCAATCCTTCCCGGAACACTATTCATACCCGAAAACTGTATTCCCTCTTACCTATCATCCCATCTTGTCATAGCGTCTCCCTTCGACTTCAAAGAATCCCCAACCAACCTTAACCAAAATGTCCGATGACCAGAAGCTCATTGCGAGAGGTTTGAAGCTCCGACAATCAGTACCGCCAGGAACTCCTAAGGGAGCCTTTTACAAGAAACTATCCGCCGAAGACCAAGCCGCATGGGATGCGGCTAAACCTTTTGTGAACGCTACGGACAATACCAGCACCACTGCAGCACCTACACCTACCAGTGCGGCCCCTACATCTGCCGCACCTACATCTGCCACTACGGCACCGACCAGTGCCGCACCTACATCTACCACTATGGCACCTACACCGACCACCGCTGCCCCGACCAGTGCGACGGTAACACCAACAACAGCGGCGACGAACGTGACCTCGGCGCCTCCTTCTTCCACTGTGCAGAGCACCCCTCCACCTACAGCTACGACGATGCAGACGCCGACTACCGCGGGAGGAGGAGGAGGGGGTGGTGATGGCGGGGGGACTCAAAAGAAGGACGAGGAAGAAGGTACGGGTGGTGCTTTAGGATGTTTGACTGGGTTTTGTTGTGGACTCTTATTGGCGGATCTTTGTTGTTGTTGGTGGTGATTTGGGGTGGATGATCATTTGATCTTGGAGTTTGTCGAATCTCGTTTCTTGTCACATTGGTGGGTGTCATTGTCTTGGATGATCCTCGCAGGTTCGATAGAGGTGTGGAGTTAGGCGGAGAGTGGATAGTCAAAGTCCGAATGCCGGTCCGCCATGGTATCCTCTAGAAAGAAATTTATATTTCCTCGGGCGTCAGCTTGTCCATCGTGAGATTCTCGGGTTCAAGACATCGCCTTCGGGGGATAGGGCATAGCAAGTTGGGAGATATAGCATAGCAAGTTCGGGGATAGAGGATAACACGTTCGGGGTGAGCATAGCATGTTCGGGGGTAGAGGATAACACGTTCGAAAACAGAGCATAGCATGTTCGGGGATCGGGTAGGGGGGGGGACGAAGGAAAGATTGGAAAGCAGGACAAGAGATGGTCATGAGCGTCATCATCCACCATGACGTACGTTCGTTGTTTGAATAGAGAAAAGTGATAAATAATGGATCTTGAAATGCTATGTCTCGATCTAAATCCATCGTGAGAACGATATTCAGGATGGTGAGAAAAGATATAAACTCACCATTCCCTCTCTCTCCGTAGCCCGCAGATGACGATACCTCACTGATCATGGACATACAGATAGCTCAGACCTCGGTCTTTACCTCGCCCCCCACTCGGTTTTCCCACACGAAATCACCAGATCTAGAGATCTAGACTTTTAGATATCATCGCCTCTCTTGGTTCCGACGGCCTACAGGTTCCCTCCTCCGATACGGTCAAACGGTTATGCGGACATACGGACGTACGGACGTACGGCACTTCGGTCCTCGGTCCTCCAGAGTTCCCAGGCAACGTAGGCGGAATACGAAGTCGAAGTAAAAGGTTGTAAGTCGTCCCATGGCGGGAGATCCGAATGCGATGACGATTTCGTGTATGGGCGGTGCTTCGTATCTCCAGGGTTTACCTCCGACTCCGTCGAGGGCGTCGAGACCGATCCCTCCGACCTACGGAAGGGGGAGGTTGGAAGAGATAAATACCCATCCTAATCCACCAAGAAGATCAATTCCACGTTGATGTATGATCCGTCCATCTCTCACCACTGAAACCTAGAAACAACCTTCATATCACTGAACACTCAACGTAACTTACTTTGAGCACAGAGGTCTGTCAAGTGATTCATCTACAATGGACAATAACAATGCTCCTGCCTACCAAGTGCCAGACTACACGGATGAAAACAAAGAATTCTTTGATGCAAGGACTGGCAGAGTGATAGCAGACAAAGATGGTGTGGTACACAGGTAAACTTTACCTTTGATTAATCATTGCATGCTAACAATAGACTTCTGTCAAATCGGTGAGTGCTCCGTAATCACACTGCTTCGCTTCCCACCACAGTTTGCAGTGATGTCTGTCTATCACACAGTGCGGCAGGCAAGGAAGCATGCTCTCTAACAGTCACTTAGAATTCTCATTGACAATGCAGTCCCGCAAACCAATGGTCTTCTCAGGTAGACTGCTCATTATTGCATACTAAAAGGTGACTGAGGGGCAGCTGGTTACTTTAGCTCCCCAATCAACATTCTCATTGACCACAACTGAAAAGGTGTGAGTTTGGGTTCGCAGCTTGGAAACACACCATGCTTTTCCTGTGCCCCAATTCTATCCACAGTCTTTCCACCCTTCATATCATGGTGGAGTGGTTGCAACAGAGCACCGCAAGTGGCTGACACATGTGTCAACTTCTTGGCTCATTCCCATCGCTTACATGCTGATCCGCCCAAGAGGAGGATATAACTGACATGCAGTCAAATGCTCTATGTTCTTGATGGCACACTGTATCGTGAAGAAGCAGAAATCACTGAAGGCTTCTTTGAGGTTGTACCTGCAGGTACAAGTACCTCAGATCTGAACACAAGTACACAGGTGATGTTTGACTTTTCCTCTCCACCTTACCTATGTATTATACCCTTGGTCATTCACTATTTCATCAACTTGCTTGACTGTGACAGTGCCTCTCTCCTGTCTCCCAAGACCTCTGTCTTCCGTATCCCATCGGCCCATTCTGTTTAGTCATACAATGGACAGACTGAAGGACCATCTACTGTGTATGGTCCTTTATCCAGATTGTCTTATCTCCTCTGTGTCAAGTATCACACTGAACACCTGTGTCCACCCAAGCATCAAGTCATTGCTGTTGTTCATTTCTACAGTGATACTCTTGGTGTGGTTTGAAAAACTCATTTCAGTGGGATTGGGCTCACATTCCAGACTTGCTCAATATGGCTTGGTCAATTCATGGCTCCCTCAGATGCTGTGACCCTGCCAAGCTCTGTGGTCTCTGAGCAGGCACCTTGGCGGCACCTTAATGTTGAGGCTGTTTCAGCTAATGAGGGTGCAGAATCAAAAATGAAACATTGCTCAGAATTGTGGGACATATTCCTTTTCTGTTCATAGCTAGGCACTGACAACAGGTTGTTGCTGTCAATGATGTGAGCTTGAACTTCTTGCCTATTCTCACACTCCCACACCTTGTCTTACCCTTTGCTGCTCACCTAAGTTAGATCCCATCAGGGCAAGCCCTCAGCAAGCTTAATGTGGGTAGTGTTGTGTTTTTTGAGGACATATACTTAGTTGTGATGGACTATGTTACGTGTAACATTAGGGAGAACTGATGATACAGATCTCTGACACTCAACACCGGTGTTATGGTTAGAGTAAGCCTGTTTGCAGAGGTGGAAAGTGACCCTGACAATCAGTTACTGCAATTTGAAGAAGGATTTACTCAGGAAAAACAACAACATCATGAATTCCGGTAAGTCTTTCCCCCTCACAGCTGCCAATACTTCAACTTTCATTCAGTCATGATCAGTCAGCTGGGTGAATGGGTTGCCCTCTAGAGTGGGCAGTGAAGTGCTCAAATTGCTACCACACATAAGGCAATTCACAGGCCTAAGTTCCCTTCAGATGAATAGTTTTCTGTCGCACATGAGCATGGACAATCTGGGACCTGCCAACTGAGTATCGGCAATTGCGACATGAAAAAAGTTAACCACCAGTGAAGAGGTCTTGAATGTAGCTGGATGTCTCCATGGTCCTGAAAGGGATACTCGCTGTGACTATCTGAACCTCTGGAAACTCCCTCCGGACGGGCTCAAAGCACTGGTGACTGAATTGACGGAGGATCCTCCACAAGAAAGTCTCATTCGCAAATATGATTATTGTAGTCGTTTAACGGGGAAATTGCATGGTCCACATAACCCACTAAAGGTCAGTACACCAAGTCTGTACCCCAGCTCTGTGTGTACTTGCCATGCTTCTTGGTCCAACTTTCTGCTTGACTGCCTATACTTTACCACATACCACTGCATCCATGTCTGAACTTAAAATGGTTCCTGGACTGATCTTCAGGGCAAATACTGCAGCATGCTACAAATCTGCAGTTATGAGGGAGGATCAGTTACTCAACCAGTGGAGTGATCATAACCCTTGAATTCTGTGAATACTGTCACCAAGGATGTGACAAGTTGAGCAAAAGTTAGGGAAGGGTATTGATAAGGAGTAACAACGAATCGAGAGAACTCCATCGAGTTCAACAGATTAGGAAAGAGAACGGGAAGAGTTGGAGGCAGTGCTGCAGTAGGTAGGGACGGGTTTTCCCTTTTCGAGATTTCCCCACTGGGTTTGCTCAAAAGCGGTTTTTCACCTGTCCGAGAATGTACATAGACGCTTGCAGTAGGACTGAGAGGAGGACACGGACTCCTGTAGATAGTATATAGTGCCATCAGCAAAGTACCAACTTTGCTGATTCTTCAATATCATTCTTTGGCTACATCGATTGCAGAGGAGACACAATCCATTAGCACCAGAGACCCTAGACTTCTACGAGACATCCATCGAGTTCGACCCGACCTGCGACCTAGTCGTCGTGTTTCCAGTAAGGTTACAAGTTGAAGAATCAGCCTTACGCGCCTTGGGTTGAAGTGGAGAGTATTGCATGCTTACCAGAGGAAAAGCGCGGAAAATGATACCGGAAAAAGAGGAGTTGGAACAAGGGCTAGTCCCCGAGTGTCACGAACTACATCGTAACATCCCTGACAACCACCATCACCGACCCTCCTTTCACCATCACCAACCTCCACTCGAACCCCTGAGACCAACTACGACGAAGTTACGAGAACCAAAAGGGGGATTTGTCACGATAACCCCGCCTAGCGGAGAACTACGGCGAAGTTAGTGGAAGGCAGCCGAGGGAGGGCAGGACAAGGGAAGTTAGGCGAAGTTAGTCGAAGTGAACAGTAGGATATCGGGGATATGGCGAGGAACGGTGAAGTACGGCGAAGTTGAACCAAGGGGACTGAGCGTGAGGCAGTGCAGGAGTTGAGAGACGTTCTATGAGAGGAGAGGAGTAGTATAGATAGTTTACAGATCGCTGAACTTCTTCAGCGATCCTTGATTGTTGTCAGTAGCAAGAGATATATTCAGTAGCTACAACCTTCGAGTTAAGGAGAGCTACCACCGAGCAGTTCAACGTACTACGGCGAAGTTAGTCGCAGTTCATCGACGATCATCTTATCAGTTTACCACTCGACGAATCACTACGGCGAAGTTAGCCGTAGTTCCTCGACGAGTACCCTGTCTTAGTGAGACAACGACGCCCCACTACGACGTAGTTAGCCGAGGTTTGTCGACCGTCGGTCAGTAGAGAAGAAGAAACGACGTTTGTGACACAGAGGTAGAAATGCCAACAAGTGTCACAAAGTGTGTGACAAGTCGAGCGAAAGTCGGGGAAGGGTATTTAACCAGCGATCGGCGGTAGTGTTAACCGCCGATTAATAGGCCTTTTCGTCGCAGTGGTTAAGATCACTGTTCCGTTGGGCACTGTTATATCGTGCATATGCTGGTCAGTATGTCTCGTGACAACAAGTTCCTCGAGAAGTACTATTTCACATGATCTCACTTCTACCACCACTACCCCAGATCCGCTGAATGAATTATTGCAGCAGTTGTCACAATTATCAGCCATTATGACGATGCAACAAAAGGAACAAAATGCATTAAGGGAAGAACTGGCTACAAACAAGGCTGACCGACAGAACCAACAGCTTCTCACCTCAAAAGGGGCAAGTTCGATCGAAATCGAAGAAAACAAGCCGTGTTTGGAGCCAAAACTTACCAACAACAAACAAATAGGAAGAACCAGGTGTGCGGACCCACCTACTTTCAGTGGAGAACAAGGGGAATTGGACAACTTCCTTGCAGCATGGAGCGTGCGATAAAGACATTGTCTGTGAAGGGTCAGCTTATGATTGGGAAGATAGAAAGCATTACGAAGAGAAGTTTTCCAAGCATCCCAAGTATTCAAAGCAGCACGGCAGACTGAACCACGCTGTGTGAACCAAGTTGAAGCTTTGCCAACCAGGATCAATGGAAGTTGTTGAAGTAGGACCTTATCCTGAACACCTGAGTACTCAAAGATTGCAGATACCTTTTCAATCCATTGATCCACATCCTCATTATCTCTACCACCAAACTTTGGTAAGTCTGAGGCCTTGAGTTTAAGAGAGGAATTATGGTCATCAGTTCCAAAAGGAGCAGAAGCACTGCGGCGCTTAAGAGCAGCACGGAGTTCGGTTACTTCTTGTTGTGCAGCCTCCTGATCTTGCTGAGTGGTGGCAAGCACATCTTGAAGATGTGCTTCAAGCTCTTGTTCCTTGGTACGCATGGAGTGTCGAGCTTCCTGCAGTTGGATGTTGGTGTCTTGAAGTTGTTGTTGGAGTTGAAGTACCTGTTGGGTCAGTGTAGCTATACTTTCCTGTTGTCTGATCTGATCTTCATCAGTTGGGGCAGGAGGATCCTCTTGAGGTAGTGGTGGAGTTTGTGATGGCGAGGTATCTGCAGCAGGTGGAGCAGATGAAGATCGATGTCGAGATGGTGTCGGAGTAAGAGGTGAAGTTGTGCCTATATTGAAGAGAATGGCAGGAGGATTTCCAAGGTGAGAAGCGAGTCGGGTTGTTGGCCGGATAGAAGTCATAATGATGTTTTTGGAGGTTAGTTAGGTTTCTCTGAGTCGTGAGTTGCAAGTTGTAAGGAGCCTTGAGACAGTTTTGAATTAGTGGTTGAGGGACTGTTGAGATCTCTTGAAGTTCTCCTGAGAAAGAATTTAGGTAGAATCAAAGTAGTGTTGAAGTCTTGAAAGCTAGAAGTGTCAGTAGTAGAGAGCTGGAGGCAGTAGTAGTACTAGTAGGAGTACTAATAGGAGGAGGAGGAGAGGGGCACAGGGGCACAGAAGGACCTATAGTCCAGCTTCTACAGAAGCTCTTCCCAGATATCCCAATGGAGTCTGAGGTGAGAACTCACCTAGTTGCACGGAACTGATATGGGCGAGCGGTTGGCCAACCTAGAGGAGGAGTCAGAGTAGTAGTCAAGGAGTGAGGCAGTCAGAGTAGTAGTTAAAGTCTAGGAGTTAGCTTTACAGGTGATGAACCTGTACTGTATTTTTATTAGAGAAAAGAAAAGAAAATAAACTCAGCTGTTTTTTTTTTTTTTCTCGTATTGTTATTATTATTATTATTACCTGATTTGGATTTTTGGGTTGTTATATCTGGCCAGATAGTAGTCGTTAAGTCGTTATGTTGAAAGGTTGTTGTTAATTGTTGGTGTAACTGTTGATCAAGTCTCAATCCAATAAACCAATGATCAAGGTTGAGCTAGCACTAAACCACAAGACAGAAATATCCGGGTGAGCGCCCCAATTGTAATGGTCCTGCTTGTGAGGATCACCACAAATAAATAAGTGTAACCTACCCGTAGGGCTGGATACTGAACCAGAACTCTGTGATGTGGGTAATACTAGTCAGCAATGATCAAAGGTCAGTAGGTGTAAGGAAAGAGTGTGTCAAGGAAACCAAAGAGGGTCTGAGAGAGGATGGAGGAAAAGGTGAGAAGGAGGAAGAAGAAGAAGAAGAAGTGAGAATGAAGAAGAGGATGGGGAATCTCTCTCTCAGGCCCTGCTTATATGCATATCAGTGTGTCTCAAACTCGATACGAGGCCGAATCGTCCTCAATTCGAGTAAAGGAGAAACTATGTAAGAGAAGGAGGAAAAACTACATATGAGAACGGAAAAACTATGTATGAGAACGGAAAAACTATGTATGAAAGCGGAGAATGTATCCACGATGTCAAGGATACTGCCCACCCTGGGACAGAGGACAAAGGACAAGGGGACAAGGACTAGGAGGGACAAGGACTAGGAGGGACAAGGGCTAGGAGTGACAAGGAATATACTTAAGATAACAAGACTGAGTCCAACAAGGAATGGGACTGTGACCCAAGGAATGTCTCTGGCTTGTCTGACAAGACTAGAGGGAACTGGACTGGACTGGACTGGACTCCAAAAGGGTGGCAATGGAAATGACTTTTGATCAAGAACTAAAGAAGACTACAAAGTACTAAGTAGGGTTTATATAGACAAATCAGGCTTTCTACCAAGCTGAACCGTCCTGCGTAGGAAAACACCGTAATCCTCGGTGTACCTGTTGTTTTCTAACTAACAATAACAAACTGCGCTCTGTTCTCGCCGTGCTGCGTATAATACGCTGTTGACCGCACGCAGAAGTACGCATGACGACGTAAACCATACGTTCGCCTCAAATCTAACTAAACTAAAGTCTTGGGTCTAATGCCATACCAGGCATACTAACTGAGGATAACATAACTAACTAAAGGTTCAGATCTCTTGCCTCAAAGGCATCAGAGCAGAACTAAAACATGCGGTAACTGATACTTGTGATTCATGACACACGAATACGTGGTCCAAGTATGAAGGAGAACGAAGGAAATAGTGAAGCACATAATGTGGTCTACAAAACATATGTGTGTATCATGAGTGAGAAACGGTAAAGGACAGGATGAAAGGATAAGAGGAGAGGAGGGAGGAGACAGCAGAAGATGATATAAGACAATATGAGTTGGGGGAATGGATCAAGGAAGAAGGAAGAGGTATGGAAGGAAAGCTATTATACTCTCTTATGTAGGGGAGGCCTGATCCACTACAACAAGTATCAGTTTCCTCATGTTTTAGTTCTGCTCTGATGCCTTTGAGGCAAGAGACCTGAACCTTTAGTTAGTTATGTCATTCTCAGTTATGATGCCTGGTATGGCATGAGACCCAAGACTGCAGTACAGGTGGATTTAAGGCGAGCGTATGGTTCACAATGTGATGCGTGCTTTCTCGTGCGGTCCACAGCGTATTACATGCAGCACTCCGAGAATAGTGTGCAGTCTGTCTTTGCTAGTTAGAAAATGATAGGTACGCCGAGGATTGCGGTGATTTCCTACGCAGGACGGTTCAACCTGGTAGAAAGCCTGATTTGTCTATATAAATGTCACAAACATCGTTTCTTCTTCTCTACTGACCGACGGTCGACAAACCTCGGCTAACTACGTCGTAGTGGGGCGTCGTTGTCTCACTAAGACAGGGTACTCGTCGAGGAACTACGGCTAACTTCGCCGTAGTGATTCGTCGGGTGGTAAACTGATAAGATGATCGTCGATGAACTGCGGCTAACTTCGCCGTAGTACGTTGAACTGCTCGGTGGTAGCTCTCCTTAACTCGAAGGTTGTAGCTACTGAATATATCTCTCGCTATTGACAACAATCAAGGATCGCTGAAGAAGTTCAGCGATCTGTAAACTATCTATACTACTCCTCTCCTCTCATAGAACGTCTCTCAACTCCTGCACTGCCTCACGCTCAGTCCCCTTCGTTCAACTTCGCCGTACCTCGCCGTTCCTCGCCATATCCCCGATATCCTACTGTTCACTTCGACTAACTTCGCCTAACTTCCCTTGTCCTGCCCTCCCTCGGCTGCCTTCCACTAACTTCGCCGTAGTTCTCCGCTAGGCGGGGTTATCGTGACAAATCCCCCCTTTGGTTCTCGTAACTTCGTCGTAGTTGGTCTCAGTGGTTCGAGTGGAGGTTGGTGATGGTGGAAGGAGGGTCGGTGATGGTGGTTGTCAGGGATGTTACGATGTAGTTCGTGACAATAAACCCTACTGAGTACTTTGTAGTCTTCTTTAGTTTTTGATCAAAAGTCATTTTCATTGCCACCCTTTCTTTGAGTCCAGTCCAGTCCAGTCCAGTTACAATCACAGTCCAAGTCCTTCTGAGTCTAGTTAGACAAGCCAGAGACATTCCTTGGGTCACAGTCCCATTCCTTGTTGGACTCAGTCCTGTTATCATAAGTATATTCCTTGTAAATCCTAGTCCTTGTCCCCTTGCCCTTTGTCCTCTGTCCCAGGGTGGGCAGTATCCTTGACACACAGTCTACCCGCAGGCGTGACAGGTGACTAAGGTTGAATAGTGATCCGTTGTACAATGGAAGGAGTTGAGACGAGTTGAGTAAAGTTGACTGGACTTGAGTGGATGATATACATGCGGGATTTACAGAGATTCAAGGGTTATGACAAGCACCATATTGTTTTCCACTTGACACATTACTATGGCGAAGCTAGCCATGGTTCCTCAAAGAGTACCCTGTCTCAGTGAGACATCAACACCCTAGTACGACATAGTTAGCCGAGGTTTGTCGACCGTTGGTCAGTAGAGGAGAAGAATTGACCATTGTGACAGTGACCTCAAGAATGACACCAAGGTGATCTGATCCCGCCACGGCTGTCAGACCCTCAGACCACTTTGGTCTCCTCCTTTTGAGGCTTATGTCAAAGTACGCCTGTCCTCTTTGTCAGCTATCTTCCCATGTACAGTTGTAATGATCCTGCTTGTGAGGATCACCACAAATAAATAAATGTAACCTACCCGTAGGGCTGGATACTGTCGGAACTCTGTGATGTGGATAATACTAGTCAACAATGGATCAAAGGTCAGTAATGGTCAGTAAAGAGTGTATCAAGGAAACTAAAGAGGGTCTGAGAGAGGATGGGGAAAAAAGGAGGAGAAGAAGGAGGGAGAAGAAGAAGTGAGAAGAAAGACAATGGAGGAAGAGATCCCCCTCAGACCCAGCTTATATACATGATTGGGGTTCCGTAGTACGGAACAGCTACGCCATATTTTACGGTACGGGGATTATTACGGATTAGAAGTCCTCTAAGGAGAGGGACAACTTGTCTACGAAAAGAGAATAGGAGGAATAGGGTTCTTGCTAGGGAGGATTACAATAAGTATGAGATGAGTGATAAGGAGAAGGGAGAGGAAGGGGACTATGGACTACTCCTCATGTAGGGGACAGCCAGGTTCACTACAACAGTCCACGTCCTCGAACCCGATAGATTTTCAGTGATACGGAGTAGGTTTGCAGGAGATTTCATGCGACCCCGGTACCAGGTACCCGATAGTGTCAAGACTGAGATTATTGGGTTAGAGGACAATTCTTGGTAGGGGAGGAAGAAAGATAGGCCCGCGAAGCCAAGGGAGGTGCAATAGGCTCCCAAGAATAGGCGTGCACAAGGGCTTTTGGGACAGGACAGGCGCGTCAAACGGTCTCACGTGACCCAAAATTAAGTGGAGGGTTCACTTAAGCTTCCCTCTGTTAGGTCCCACAAGGCGATAGCTCAAAGCTCACACCGAGCTCATCGGGTTAGAGGACGCGGACTGTAGGTAACACGGTGAATAATGTCGTTGAGAAGATAAAGTGAAAGAGGCCAGCACGGCCGTAAGCTCCTATATCTCACCGACCCCTATCACCACAATGACTGCTGCCTATCCCTCGATTCTGATTCTTACTTTGACTCTTCCACCTCTCCATATCACCTTACTGACCTTTAGTTGACTTGTCTTTCACTTGCTTTGTCTACTCACACCTCTGGTGTGTTACTGGAAACAAGTGAAAACTGGACCCACCCGGGCAAGTACTAAGTAACGAGATGGTCAAACCGCAATTGGAATTCTTTGATACTGTCAGAATCGAGGAAAAGTCTGTAGGGCCAGATGAAACTGAGAGGTGAGTTCTTTTGTACTTTCAGCCGGTCAGTAGATTGCAATCATTGCTGATGGAAGGGTATTGGTACATGAGTATGTCATTCATTCCACTTTCGTCTCTCCTTCTTCCTCCTTAGTCTTCCTTGGTCCTCTACGACTTCGTACTACACTCAGTGCCGTCCATCGAACCTGTCACTTCAAAACAACCGACATATGGCCAAAACGGGCCTGCAGAGCTGCGCATCATATGCTGGGAGACTGATACTATAGTCTCGAAACTGGGAACTGTGTAAAGGTAAGTTCTCTCTCTTCGAGATCTGTCATCCAAGCCTTTATCCCCACTGAGAGGAAGATACTGTTCTTCGGTCCTGGTTATACTCAGAGTGATGAACCTAGAACACATGTCTACTGGTGAGTGCCATTTTCACCCAACGATATCTGAATGAGCCATGGTCATATCTATCCAAACTCTCGGTGGATTTGCTCTATCTCAAAGTCAATTGTCACGTTATAGTAATTAGAGTGAATTGATATGCATGGGCTTTATATAATGTGAGACTGACATACAGGGAAGAAGTCTATATTCTCGAAGGACGTCTATACGATAGGACTCTAGAACGATGGATTTCACCTGGAGAGTATTGTTGTCGACCGCCTGGGATGATACATGGACCTTATACGGCAGATCCGGAGGTGGTAAGTCTTAGACTTTCCATTCGGCGTCCCATCATCTTTACTCTCGTATTGCCTCATGTCATGTATCCCTCCAACCCATCGGCTTTTGACGCTCCGTAGGGAGGTTCTTCTCCGTGTTCTATCATCCACAATGATGAGAGCTAATCCGGAGGGCTGCAAACAGCTCGTCACTTTGACATACGACAAACCGACGTCTTGACACCCATGACGCGAAGCAGTAGTATTGCTCGGGTACACCTCAGTTCATTCCAGCATATAGACCTATCGAGCGTTCAACGTGAGAAAAAGATGCATGCCCTGTGACTTTCTTCTCTGGGCAAGAAGCCATGTAACTTGTGGACTGATGTGAGAGCTAGATGGGTACTGTCCCATCAACCACATCTACAATATCCAACACCCTCTCCACTTCCTTCCCCTGTGTCGTCTCTACAGCCGGCGAGTCCTCCAGCCTCTCCTGCTTGATATCCATCTTATCATCAGCAATGGCATTTTCCCTTGTCACACTGCCTGTTTCATCGAGGAAAGAAGAAACACTCGGAGCATATTGCTCTTCCTTCACTTCCAACCCCTCGAGGAGGTCCGGATCCATCTTCGCCATTTCCTCATTCTCATTCTCCAGATCCTCGGGTTTGATACTGGTTTCGGCGTCGTACTTGACCTCCACCTTTGCGCTCTCGCCAAATGTATATTCAACTGGCTTCCGACCGACCGAGTTGACGTTGGCGACTCGAGAGGGACAGAGTTTCTCTTTAGCGAGAAGACAGATGTCGCATCGGGGTCCAACGGGCAGACAAATGATCTAGATGTCAGAATATGACCAGCATTTCGTTCCGCCCAGCTAGTCGGGGAGAGAAGTATAACTCACTTGACCAAAACCGACAAGCATCGGATTGATTGGACGATGATATTCCATGGGTAGCCATGATTGAAGGTTCAACCTCGTTTGCTCGGGTGTGGTGGTTTGAGGTTTATGCCATCGAAGACGGTTTGTGATTCTGTGTACGTGGACGTCGACGCCTATTCCAGCGTTTCTGAAAGTTAACTCCCCTTCTTCTCTCCCGGTTAACGTTCTCTGTGATGATTCTGATGACAAGTAGAGAGGTAGGAAGAAGCAAAGGAGAAGGAAGAGGGGAGGGGACAGGGGGAGAAGATAAAGCACGACTCTCTGCTCACATGTCCCACGCAGCCTGCAAACACAAAAAAGCCATCTTCGGTCCGACACCTTTCAACTCGCACAACCCTTCCAACGTCTTTGGCACATCCCCTTTTTCATCCCCAGGGAACTCCATCAACCTCTTGGCTGCGGCTTGAATATACTCTGTTTTTCGACGCCAAAAACCCACTTTGTTGATACACTGGGATACCGTATCTGGGGATGCACTGTCGAGGGCAGCGGGAGTGAGTCCGCCAGGAAGGGTAGAGTGAAGGTTTGACACTGCTTGGGCGGTGACGGGATCTTTTGTCTGTGAGGATAGCATGAGGGAGATGAGGATGTGGAAACGGAGTGTCTGGGGGTAAGCTGAGGGTTATGATAACTGCCGGCTGTGGGGTCAATGTAGTGAGACGAGGACCTACTTTAGGATCAGCTGCACCGTTAATAGATGTTCTTTCGCATGGCCTGTTAGTCAGCCAAGAGGACATCAAAGCACATGGCAAAGGGAAGAAGCAGAGTAAACTCACATCTCGTCCACTGGAGCTACGATACCCTCCCTCATCCTTTTGATCAAATCATACTGTTCTTTCCATTTCGGCGGGGCTGGATGAGGTTTCTCCAATGCCATCAATGGTAGAGACTTCTTGACAGACTTGGGCGTCTTCGAACTTGTCCCCTCGACCGCTTCTTGCTTGACTGGGGTTCGGGAAGGTCTGGCTGTTCGTACAGGTGTAATCGGAGAAGCACCTTCTACCTTTCTCCTCTTGCGCACAGGAGTAGCCACATGGGATTCGATCTTGACAAGAGGCGGGGAAGGTGATAAGGGGGTGAGCGATCTGCTCCGTGTTGAGAGGGTCGGACCGGGGGATGGAAGAGGTGAAACGGGTTCACGCTTGAGAGTGGTGTTGGAGGGTGAACGAGGTGGGTCTGTGGTGTATAAGGTGACCCTAGAATTGAGAGCTGACCTTGTTGAACGTAGTGACATGGTTGTGATGAAGGATTGTGATGGACTGTATGTACGTGTAGAGTAAGTGCTTTACGATGGTGAGCAGGGTGGGTTGGGTGGTGAGCGACCACTTTCCCACGGTCGGTTCACAACACACTCTGCCGGTTTTCGGATCCGGATTCCTATTCTTGGCCAAAAATTGACCAACCCCACTGTACTGTACTCTATTTCACTCTGCATATGTAACATACATACGCAGCTCACCCCGTCATGGCATCTTCAGCATTCAACCTGCTCACCGCTGGAGGGGCCAGGTTTGACAAGAGACGTTTCAATGATGATATACGTCTTTTCACCGTCAGTGACCTCTCCCTCGCTACTTACTTTGTACCCCGCTTTCCTTCCTCCTGTCTTGCCTTGACCGACTCAACCTCGCTATCTTTCTCGGCTGACCAGCAGCCCTCTTCCAAATCCTCAAAACGTCAACGTACACAAGCTCTTCCTTCTGACCAACTCCCCACCTCCCTCGACGTCTTTCACGATCACACTCATCCTTCCAACCGTCCACCCGCATCGTCATCTAGCGAGGACGAACTGCCCCGACCACCCAAACAGAAGATCACCATCACCGGCTCTGACCCACTCCCAAAATCTTTACACACCAACATGCCGTCTCTTTTCAATCACCCACCTTCTCCGCTCACTTCGGCACAGGGTCAACCTCTTCTTACTGCTCTGAAAGCCGCTGGCATTCATTCGTTATGGGGCGTCCAGTGTGCCGTCGCCGGATCGTTGCTGGAAGGTCATGATACTCTTTGCATAGCCCCAACGGGATCAGGAAAGACATTAGCTTATCTACTACCCACACTGGTCAGGTTACAAGATCCTGTCAGAACTTTGACGGCCGAGGATAAGGGACAAGGAGTGAGGGCGATTGTTCTTGTTCCAACGCATGATTTGGCCGTTCAGATACATGGGGTGCTGAAGGTGATGTGTAAAGGGAGGAAGTGGAGGTGCTTAGTACTGTCCAAGGCCACGGAGATGGCAGTATGTGAGAGCTCCCCCGGGGTAGCAGATGTGACAAGCGGGACCGAGTCAGATGATGACGATGGTGGTAACGATCACAGTTCAGACCTCGAAGGAGAAGAACATGGCGAAGATGGTGAGGTGGATGAGGATGAATCATACACCAGCGCCGATCTCGACCAACCTAAGAAGACGAGAAGGGCCGGACTAGGGATAGACATTTTGGTTGCTACTCCGGAACGTCTCCATCACCTCATCAACGAGCAACGTGTCTCTCTTGCAGAGTGAGTCTCCCTTTGCAGGAGTGTTGAAGGAATGCTGACTGACGTTCAGAACAAGTCATATCATCCTGGACGAAGCGGACCGACTGTTGTCACCAGATTTCTTACCCCAAGTCGAACCCATCGTCGAGGCTTGTACTCATCCGAAAGTGCAGAAATGTCTCTTGAGCGCTACTATACCAGCTGGGGCGGAGGCTTTGGCTCGAACCTGGCTCAGAGAAGGTGGAGTGAGAATTGTGGTAGGCATAAAGTGGGCAGTCATCTCCTTCCGACCTACTGGTCTTTGATCTGTCCTCAAGCTTGGTGTCACTAGAAGCTGATATAGATAGAGACTCCGCCGTCACGACCGTCGACCAATCTCTAGTATTTACAGCAACGGAATCTGGAAAACTCATGACCCTCCGTCAACTCATTTCATCCGGCGACCTCCCTTACCCTTCCCTGATCTTCGTTCAATCCATCGAGCGCGCAGAAGAACTATGCAAAACCCTCGCTCTGGAAGGTGTCAAGGTGGATATGGTACATGGAGGTCGGAGCAGGACCAAAAGGGAGGAAGCTGTGGTAAGATTTAGGAAAGGAGATGTATGGATTCTGGTGGTCACCGAGGTACTCGCACGAGGCATGGATTTCAGAGGAGTCAAGGTGGTGATAAATTACGGCAGGTTCAATCCTCTTGCTTCCCACAATCTATTCTCTCCCGATCATACCTTGACTTGTCCCTTCCTCGCGACATTGACCATCCTTCGCATCGCCGCTCACGTTTCCTTCGTCTCTCGACAATGCTAATTCGGCTCCGTACAGCATCATAGAAAGCCTCCGACTGCATTCCGCCCAGTTTGCATCCTCTTTTCATCTCTTGCCAACTGCAGTGAACAGCGCAACTGACAAGCAGATTTTCCGCAAACGGTGCAAAGCTACATCCATCGTGTAGGTCGTACCGGTCGCGCTGGTAGGCCAGGAAAAGCCATCACATTTTTCAGCCACGAAGATGGGCCGTATCTCCGAACGTAAGCGCTTCCCCCACGATCAACTTGCATCCTCGTATCCTGTCCCCCACTGTTGTCCTTCCCATTCTCCATCCGCTTGTAGCATGGTTCGGAACTACCAGCTGACCGGCAGCATTGCCAACGTCCTTCGTTCCTCCGGCTGTCCAGTACCCCAATACATGCTCGATCTCCCTGCTCCGTCAAAGAATCAAAAACGTCATCTCGCCAAAGTGCCAGTAAAGCGAAAGTCTGTCGGGGGAGGCGGGCGGGACGTGGGCAAGGAGAAAAGTCAGAAGAAGAGGGAGATGAAGGAGGCTTCGAAACGCAAACGAGACCACCATGTAGAAAGCGAATCATGAAACAGACATGGAGCAGGTATGACATGTTTTATGACAGTCGCACGCACCATTCATGTCGGCATACGAATGTTCTAACAATCTTGCGAAATGAGATGGGACACGGGGTAAAGTGAGAGTCCTTTGAGCTTCTTCGATGTGTCACACTTGCGAGTGGGATTCCTTTTGTGTGATTGAGCGAAGCTGACTGAACTCCCATGTCTTGAGGAAGATACAAATAACGGGTTGACCGTCTCTTACAACACATCACTGATAGCTTCTTTTTTTATACAGCCTTGACCACGACATTTCTTACTGACATATATAAACGTTATTGACCTGTCCATAAGATGACCGACAAGCAGTCCACATCAAGATGGTTTAAGGCTCTCAGTCTATACCGCGATAAAGAACTTACCTCTTCTCAATTGTTGACCAAGAAACTCTCTGAACCCGCGGCGTCCTACCCGACTTCCTCGCTCCGTCCAAGCACGACTCCCCACCACACTGGTGCCAGCCAAGAAGAGATTGCGGTCGAAGGGGACCCCTCTGGTGTAAACTGCACGAGCCCCGGATCAGTAGAGATAACCATGGTACCATTTGGTTCAGATGGTTTCTTGGTCGATGAACGTTTGGTGGAGATGATGAAAAGTCAGTACCCCAACGTCATTGTCATGTTCGAAGGAGGTTGCTAATGATTAGAAGTTATCAAGGACAACGAAGAGGACTTTGCCAGTGACTGCGATCGCAGCTATCACGGTGATTACGATGACGACCACCGTGCCGATGTCAAAGAAAACTCCATCCATTCCGAGGAAGGGAGTAAAGAAGATGATCATCAACAAGGGGGAAAGGAAAAAGAGGGCGATTTTCAGACACTCGCCGAAGGTTCCACAACTCTTGACACAAGTAGAATGACTATACAAGAACGCTGCGATCCCGTTCTACTAGACGAACGATTTTGGTCTTTCCTTCAGGACCCCAGCTTGGTCTCCCCGTCAGTCGCTAAAGAGTTTAGCAGTGCCGCGCAACGTCTGGTCAGAGATGCAAAGTCGGAAGAAGCAAATGCCTACTATTATGGTCTTCATCTTCTCGCGAAGAGTTTTGAGTATAACCGTGTTACACCTGAGTTCACTGCAGGTGACGAAGGAATATAAATGGAGGAGTTAGGATGGGCAACTAACATCACATTGCTCAAGGCGAGTGTGGGTCAGCAAATGTGGATGACCTACGAGGAGGGGTCATAGGAGGGAAAGAGTATGAGACAAGTGGGCTCGGTTCGAAAATGGAGGAGGACGATGCCATGGGAGGAGTGGGAGAGTAACAGAGGATTTATCCCGGCGAGGTCGGGGCTATGCAGGATAGGTCGGGGAGGGGTGGGTCAGGCCGAGGGAACGAGGTAGAGGGATCATGAGAAAGACGTTTGATTCGGCCGAGATCGAAACAACGTATAAGGCGAACGAGGTAGACGGAAGGGAGGGGAGGTAGGGGAAGGGAAAGGGAAAGGGGAGAGGGAGAGCGAAGGCGAAGGCAAAGAGGCGAAGCTAGAGGAGTGAGCGTTCTACCCCCGGACGAGATAGAAGACACCATCTAGAGACGCGAGACCTACGAGATGAAGGGAGGAGATATATACGTCACCCAGAGGAAAGTGAGAAAGAGGGAAAGAGGAGACAAACCATGATTCGGCCGGACCAGAACATCTTAATCTCCCACGTAAAACTACCAGTCCGGTCCGGGAAGAAGGGAGAATGTACAGCCTCAATATGACGTTTAGTATCATTCACACGCCATGACGGAATCGGTGGCGAGACCCAGTAGATGGAGCGACTACTTTAAGTGAGCTGAGAACCCGTCCAACCCTCAAAACTCATCTTACTCAATCCACACGGTCCCTCTGATCAACAAGACCCTCGCACAAGCTCAAGCCAATTTCCTGTCAAGACAAGAAAGATGTCGAATGCCGATTGGTCAACCAGGTGGGGGCCACATCTTGACTTGGAAGAACTGCTTGCACCTCCGGATACACCAAACAATGGAATAAAAGCGTGGATACAGGAGAGAACAGATCAATGGGCTCAGCGGACCAGTGCTGAAGTGACCGCTCTGTTTACTGGGTGGGGTGCAGCCCAATCTTCAGAAGGTGCTACCTCACCAGACAGCTCCACAGATGTTACAAATCAACCTGTCAGGCCTCACTCCAAGCACCCACTGGGCTCTCCAGCAGGCCCCCTTTCACCAATGGTGAATCCCTCTAGTCCTGACTCCTCCACTGAACCCCCACGTGTTGATCCATATCTGCCTGAGGCCAATGTACTTAACATGAAGGCCTCCTCCATTGCCCATCCTGACAGTAATGACAGTAACATTGCCTCAATGCCTGAGCCCATGATCAGAGAACCATCTTCATCAGAGAGCCACGATAAAACATCAGCATCTGGGACTGGGCATAGCACACCTGCTGCTAGCTTGCGCTCAACCTCACCAACTACAACACAAAGACCAAGGAAGACAAAATTTAAGCACCAAAATGGATCAACCAAGAAAGGGGTGGTCCTGCTTAATTCCGACAGGGGCTCGGACAAAACACCGACCCCAGAAGAAGTACATGCCAGGGAGAAGAAGAAGGCAGCTAAGAAACAGAGGGAACTCACTGCAAGAGCTGAAAGTCAAGCAAGGCAAAGCAATGCTCAAAGTAAGAATGATGCTGACATGGCATTCCTGGCTAAGGCAATAGAAGAAAAAGCAGTTGAATCTTCTTCTGTCAACAGCAGCACCCCCTCTGTCAGTTTGCCCACAACCTCCCAGACCCTGCCAAAAAAGCAAATGACCCTGTATCTTGATTACAATAGACCTGTGGCCACATTACGTTCACTCATAGATATTGCCAGGCGGGGTGAACAGTTTTTTGGTGCACCTTACACAATTGAACCTTGTGAGAAATTGACTTTTAATCTAGCAAGTCTATATGTTAAATGTGGGGCTGTTTTCTTTTGCCTGACACATATCTCTGATCCCTTGTTTGACAGATGGAGGGAAGTATTGTGTTCAAGCCTTTGGGCAAAACTTACAGATTCTGGTGTTCTCACACTTATAGACAGTATGGGCTGTGTCCCAGCTGTGACCACAAAGACAAATCAGAGTACTTTTGGCAAACCAGCACCTGTTGACAGTGCAATTAGATTTGTGTGGGACCTGACAAAGGACCTTGATCCAGCATCTAAACAAACATTGTCTGTCATGCGTCCAGAAAGTGACCTCCCAGAAGGGTATGACCGTGATGCCTTTGAGGCCCTGGCAAGCCAACTTGAAATCACAGCTTACCTTCCAGAGGTAAGGTCAAAACATAACAGTATTGGGGACACAACCTCTCCACCACGTTTTCGGACAGTCATGTCATTGGATGAAATGAGGGAAGCTATTTGGCGGACATAAAACTCTACACATGACTAAGCCTTACACACTTCTTCTGTCTGATGGTCCACAAACCTTGTGTAGTGGATCGGACCATCCCCTACATAGAAGAGACTCTACTATCGATCATCTGATAGTACCGCTCTCTCATATCATGTCCTCATGCTTCAACAGAAGCGTAGCTATCCTTCCATAGTACATAGTTCTCTTATTTCATAGTCTCTCTTACCCAAACACACCGTTGTCGCCCCGTCAACGCTGCATCCAATGTCAGCTCATTCATGCATATAAGCCGGGTCTGAGGGGGATCTCTTCGTCCATTGTCTTTCTCTCCCATCCTCTTTCTTCTCACTTCTTCTTCCCCTTTCTTCCTTTCCTCCGTCCTCTCTCAGACCCTCTTTGGTTTCCTTGATACACTCTTTACCTACATCTACTGACCTTTGATCATCACGGACTGGTATTATCCACATCACAGAGTTCCAATTCAGTATCCAGCCCTATGGGTAGGTTACATTTAATTATTTGTGATCCTCACAAGCAGGATCATAACAACTGGGGTGCTCACCCGAACCTTTCTGTCTTATGGTTTAGTGCTAGCTCAACTTTAGTCATTGGCTGTTTGTCATAAATCTCGAATCTCGGTCGCAGCACAAGCAGTTTATAAAGGGTCTCAGCTCATACTATGAGCTGAGCATTGGACCCTTTAGTACAAGGGCTTGGTGCACGTCACCCTTTAGGCGTATGCATTACAGAATGCTCAGCTCCACCATGACCAGGGTTCAACTCCCTGTGTGTGCACATTCTCGAACCCACTTCTTTGTGGCACACAGAGGCTTGTGGCAGTGCCACATTCTGGGATCTAATTTGTCATGGGAAAATCCGTAGGAGGATTTTCGGTTCAGACATTGCTGGCTGCTGGGACATCAGCCCTTGAGGGGGAGCTCCTGTCATAAATCTCGAATCTCGGTCGCAGCACAAGCAGTTTATAAAGGGTCTCAGCTCATACTATGAGCTGAGCATTGGACCCTTTAGTACAAGGGCTTAGTGCACGTCACCCTTTAGGCGTATGCATTACATGTCACGAACTACGTCGTGACACCCCTAAATTCCACCAACAACGACCCTCCTTTGACCATCAAACCCCCATCATTTCTCAACCTCTTCGGTTTACACATACCCTAGGACATCGGAGACCGACTATGGCGAGGTTAGGCGAAGTCAGGATTGGGGCAGGGATGGAGGGAGCAGAGGTACGGGGAAGTTAGGCGAAGTTAGACTGGGCAGGGATAGAGGGAGGAGAGGTACGACAAAGTTAGGCGAGGTTAGAAGAACGGGTGCTCGGTGTTTCGGTGAAGTTGGCCGAAGTGTGTCGAAGCGCGGATGGGTTGGATGAATGTCTAGGGGTGGTGGATACTATTAGCTGAGAAGATCGCTGAAGTTCTTCAGCGATCCTTGATTGTTGTCAGTAGTGAAAGATTGATAGAGATAGCTACACCTACATCGAGATACATCGCCATCAGAGAAAACCCCCCAGATAGAGTAACTTCGCCGAAGTTACACCCCTTTCGATGTCTGCGCCCTCCTGTTTGGGTGAGACATCGCCACCGAAGAGACAAGTTAGCCGAGGTTCGTCGACCGTTGGTCCATAGAGAGAAGTGTACGACGGCCGTGACAGTATCAAGGATCGCTCTTACCGACGACCCGTGCGAACCTCGGAGAAGTAAGAAGATCAGATGGAACCAGAGAGACGAGTTACGCGAAGTTCGAGTAGGGACAGGGAAGCAATGGAAGAGAATGAGAGGAGAGCCCTGGAGGAGCTTAGTAAGGCGATGGGACAACATCTTGGGGGGGAGGGTAGCAGTGGGGAATCAACACAAGGAGATGAGTTCGTTCCACCTGTACCCTCTCACCCTGCTAGTCCCCTCTCTGATCCCATTCCATCTGTGGGATCCCCAATTGAATCTGAACGAACCCCGCGGCCTGGAAGAAACACTGGAAGCGAGGGGAACTTTGGAGAAGAAGGGACACAGTCAATGATGTTGACCATGATGAAGTTAATGGCGGACATGAACAGAGGGATGTTGGCCGAGAGGAGGCGTAGGGAAGAACGGGAGCAGAGGAGGGAGAGAGAAACGGTTGGGGGGATTGCAGAGGGGATCTCAGAAGGAGTGAGGTACGCCTTGGGACGCCAAACTTCGGCGAGCCCAAGTGTAGTCAGTGAGAGAAAAGGGATAAAGCTGCCTAACCCAGATCTCTGGAGAGGGGACAGACACAAGTTAACCGCTTTCCTATCCGAATGCGAGGTACACTTCGAGTTGAACTCTCACCTTTTCCCCAACGATACTAGAAAAGTCTTTTTCATGATCTCCCACTTGCGCGAAACACCTCTCCTTGCGGTTCAGCCCGACTTGGCTAAAAGGCCTCTTCCTGATTACCTCACGGTATACAAACAATTCGTCAGATACCTCAAGACAAATTTCGGTGACCCCGATGAAGAAGGAACGGCGGCGCGGTTCCTAAATGATCTTAAACAAACCGGCTCAGCTTCGGAGTACTTCTCGGCTTTTCAACGACATGTTGCTATTCTGAAGTGGACTGACGACGGGAACCTGGTTGACCGAGCCAAGAAGGGCCTAAAATCGCATCTACTAGATGAGATTGCAAGGCATGGACGGTCATTCGGGACTGTTAAAGAGTTGTTGGAGTTTGTCATTCCCTTGGACAACCGTCTATGGAGGAGGAAGGTGGAGAAAGACATGGAAAAGAGGAAGGAAACGGGAGTAAGAGAAGTGGTAGTGGTAGATAGCCAGAGGGTGGAAAGAAGAGAGGAGAAGAGGGCGGAAGGGAGGCAAACTTCGGAGCAGTCGGCAGTGCAAGCGACTATTATGCCGACTCAGGTCAA